CTTTATATTTAAATTTCGCTTACAGATACTATGCCATCAGAACCATGGCGATATAAATGGGAATCATATTGCATATGACCTGGGCGCTTTTACGGTTTTACACACCGGTTTGTAGAATTTTTGTGTCTTGCAGTGTTATTTGCAATCAGACGTTAGCTACTGGGTAACAAGTTTGAGCAGCACTGGCTCTACTGATGTGTGTTGCGCGCCATATCCTCTCAAGTTTCTAACTACTAGCAGTCTGGATCGCGTGGTCCCCATCGTGGAATGCAGCCTGGTCCGACGGATGATATGCTTGAGGTTGCATCCTTCATGCTCCTTCTCCTCCTCATTGGTTATCCACCGCGGCACTTTTTTCAGTCGCTTTCAGAGAACTCAAATAACCGTCGACGGGAAAGGCGATAGGCTTGCAGGTGCAATACGTGGTTGAGAAAACGCATGCGGTGTCGGAGAATAAGCGTTTGGAGGCATTGGCTATCTGCTCCAAAGACTCGCTCCCGGACTTCTGCGTTACTCACTTGATGCTGCCACCACACGCAAGCAATCCCACGTAGACAACGATGGTCGAAAACTAACAATCGTTTTATGTCTTCCAAGCGAGTCGGCCAGGTCTCACAACCATGCAAATGAACTGCACGGGCTGAAGCAATGTATACCCTGCCCTTGAGTTTGCGAATGACGTCGTGATGGCGCCGTAAGTGGCTTAAGCTGCTTAATGCAAGGCGTGCCTTTGCGATCCTTTGTGAGACCTCATCTCCAATACAGCCGTCAGCTGTGATACAACCCCCTAGATAAATAAAGGTGGACATGTTCTAGGACGTCATCAGCAATGGTGGGAGTAGACTCAGGCATCTGCCAATCCTGGGGCAGTATTTTACATTTGCCTGGCTGGAAACACAGGCCATACTTAGATGCCTTCGTCACTAATCGCTTCAGAGCGCTCTGGACGGCTTGTGGATCGTCCCCGAGCAAAGCGATCTCACCGGCGTACTCCCAGTCCGTGACTCTGGCACCTGGGATAAGATCAATACCACAATTTAGATGGTCTTCGAATGCCCGTTGGGGGACATCTTCATTGGCAAAGTTGAAGATAAAAGATGACATGGAGCAACCTTGGCGCACGCCGCTGGTGACAGCAAAAGAAGTGTAAAGCATACAGTAAACACTGACTTTGCCAGACGTGTGACTGTAGAGATCCTTCAATATGGTTGCAAAGTTATCGGGTACACCTTTTCTTACTAGAAAGTACGCAGATCTATCTACTGGGTCAAAATTCGCTTTGATGTCCAAGAACACTAAGATTGTTAGCCGTCGGTGGACGTAACGAAGTTCAAGAAATTGGCGGAGTGTGAAGTTGTGGTCAATGCAACCTCGACTTAGACGGAAACCCACTTTTTCCTCTCGGTAAACGCCTTCTCTAGTCACTGAGAGCCTTCGGAGTAGAACAGACACGCAAATCTTGGAGGCAACAATGATCACCGCAATTCCGCGGTAATTGGCGCAATCCTCCCGGGAGCCTTTCTTGTGAACTGGGACAATGACCGACTCTCCCATGCAATTAGGACTTTCTCGTCAGTGCGAATTCTTCTGAAGTGTGATAGCATCTCGTTAACAAGTGCATTCCCGTCATCTTTGAATGGAGCCGAGGAAGGCTGTCAGGACCGGGAGCTTTAGGAGGCTTCAAACATTGGTTACGCTCCTGATCTCTGTTTCGGTAGGAGCATCTATGGCGATAGGCCAAGCACCATCCGAGGGAGACGGAGGTGTCACAGTGGGCTGTGCTGAGCAGGTAAACTGGAACGCAGGGTGCACTGCCCAGCGACCCATTCGCCTGTGCAGGTTGGTGATTTTTGTGCCGTCTGACTCACAAATCACCTGACATCGTGGGAATGGCATCCAGTGGTCTTGATGAGGTAAAATAGACTGCGGAAGTTTCCAGCTGATGCAGCGGCTTCCATCTCAGCAGCTCATTTTGACCACCAGGATTCACGGTCAGAGCGGAGACCTGATTTCAGCTTTTGAGAGATAGACTGACGAAGTTCACTGTGCTTGGCACCGGCGGACACAACCCTTCGATGATCCAGCAGTTCCGAAGATCTTACCGAAATCCAGCTTCTGGTTGTGCAGCGGGTGAGTCCGCGACTGGGCAAACCGGTGGACAGCACTGCTTTTTTTTAATTCGATCAGTATTAATCAACATCCAGACTCCGGAGTAGAGCGAGGTTTCCGTGAAGCCTCTGCTGATACTGTTTTTTCACCGTTGCGTCCTACAACTTGTGAGTGTTGAATCGGGTTTGCTTGACCCTCGGTGAACCGCCGAAACGCATGCAAATTATCGCACATACCAATGCATGATCGGTGTCAACACAAGTTGACCGAAATGATCGACAATCACGTACGCTGCCGCGCCACCTGCGACTTATGGCTATGTGATCAGTTGGTGACCAACGCTAGGTTGACGATGGAGGACGCCAGGTGGCTTAGTGGCGTCAGGGGTTACGAAAGCTCATAATGGAGAGGAAAAGTTGGTGGTCAGCACAAAGACTAAGCAGTCTCTCTCCGTTGTTAGAGCGAACATCATCATACCCGTGCGGTCCGTCGAGGTGGCCTTCACATGACAGCAGTCGACTAATATGTGCGTTTAAGTCTCCCGCCATAACCATCATGTCTGTCTTAGGCGCTCTTAGGAGCAGTTCATGAGGATATCGATAGAACTGGTCCTTGGCTGCATCCGACTTGCAGTCAGTGGGTGCATAGGCGGAGATCACGAAAAGAGCACGCTTGTCTGCGCGATGCCTGCTAACTTTACGGAAGCGACGGAGTCTCACAGCGCATAGGCGACTATTGACTGGAATCCAGTCAAGGAGAGCGATTCCAACACCAGTTTGCCTAGATGCGGGGGACTCAGCGTCACCAGTAAGGAAAAGGTAAAAGTGTGTTTGTGGTTGGACTGGTGATGACAACTGCTAGGCTGTGTTGTAATCTTGCAGTCGAGTTTCACTCAGGCGGCAGAAATCAATTTCAAGGGTCTCCAGCGTGTGTGCAACTCCAGCTTGCTGTCCGATCTACACTAATGTGCGCATGTTGAGGCGTGCTAGTTTGAACTGCATTCCAGATTGAAGTGGCGAAGATGGCTTCGGGACTGGCAACTGCCTGTCGAGGACTGTGTGGTTGAGTTGACGGGTGGCTAGAGAACAAGTTCATCGGCGGAGGTACGGTTGTTTACATTTGAAGAATCAGGTAACAATGTGGATGAATGATACAAGGAAACAGTATGTAACTTGGTGGCGTGTGTTTGTAAAGTTGGTGTAGTCGTAGAACAGTGGAACATGAGAGCGAGGAAGAGCGGTTGTGTGGGGGTGGTCAGGTGGACAAAGCTTTCCACGTGTTAGAGCTCTGTACCTTCGTGACTGAGTGCTGGAACGTGAGTGTGCCAATCATAGATATGCATCAATCGCCAGACAGCTCAGAATAGGTTACATAACTTGCTGTGGTTATCAGCATAATCTAAGTCTGTCGCTCGCTCGCTCGCTTACCCAGAACTTCAAAGGATGATGAGTGAGACAGCAACTTGACTGTCCTTGAAGATGTCATCTTCTGTGTTAGCGTCTAACTTCCCTCAATATCTTTCAGCTGATCGCAGCTGTGTATCCGCCAGAGGAGATCTTGACTTCGACCAGACAAAGCTACGAAGCCATTTATGCTCGCACCCGGGCGTACGGTAGGTCAGTTGTTCCATATTTGTCATGTCTTCTGAGGGATCAAGATGTAATCAAACATGCCCTTTTGCCAGACTGAATCGATGATATTACTACTGCCACCTTCAACTTGGTGGCGCACCACATACATTTATCACATTTTTAGTTAATTATATTTGTGCCATTAGCGTGTGTGTTGTAGTTGAATATTCACTCTTCATGGATGCATAAAGCGCATTGTTGACTTGTTGACTTGCCTTGACTTGATAGCTCAGCTGAACCGAAAAACAGTTAGTTTATTTGTATCAAGCCTTATGGTACTTCGTTTTCGGGGACCCTCCAAAACTCATGCGATTGTCTGCACAGGCCAGCTCGTGGTAGGCGTCAAGAAAAGTGGATCAACTTGATTTGCAACCCCGTACACTGCTCGCCCATTTGACACTGCGTGTGATGTGGTCAGTTTGATACCATGCTTGCGTTGATAAAGGGGGGGCGCCATGTTGCCGAACGCCTCTCCGTATACTTGAAGTTGATGCTGGAGAGAAACAGATGACGGTTTCCACACGGTGCAGGAAATTTCTCCCCGTTATCTGAGTGGCTATCATCGAGCGCATGATGACCAACAAGGTGACATTCACATGGTAACAGACGACCAACATGTAAGTTGGAATCCCAGCAAGATAGACAATATCGAATTTGTAAACTTTGCTTTAGAGCTGATGAGGTTGATGGTGAAAGCCGTCCTTGACTGAGTCGTGAATGCAGTCATTTAGAACTAATGCGAAGATTACAAACAAATTGTGTATGACCCCCGAAATCGAATTATACACAGGACTGTTAATTGGAAACCAGTCTAGCGGAGCTGCTTCGGTTTTACTACTTAGTTCTACACCACTACCAGCCAAATCTGCTGCGGCTCTTATCATGACACCAGATAGACGCAAGTGAAATATGATCAATTGGCAGTGAGAGATGTCAACTTAATCACTGTCCTTGGAACTTACCATCGGGCTTCTGAAAGACCGAGAATCTATCGGTCCTCTCGGTTGAGCTCTTCATCTATAAGTAAGGTATATTCTTTCTACTGAGTTCAGTTAGACAACACTTTGAATATGCATTTCTGTGATGCCGGTCGAGTTATAAAATTTGTCCGTGTTCAAGTCTCATTCCTTTATTATCATCCTCGACCAACTGCACATGATGGGTGCAAGATTTTAGAACTAGTCGGATGAGATTCATCCGTGATATCATGAAGTGGTGCTAAGTGCTGGATGCAATCGGAGCTACTCGGGAACCACTTACCTCAAGTATTTCCTTCCAAGAAATATAGTTTTCTTTGATTGCTATGCGTAGTCCACGTAAGTCTTCAAATGTTTCCTCAAGTTGTTCGAGCTGGTCGTCCAACTGAAAGCAGAAAGTCAGAAAATACTTTTTCAGTTCACTGCAAACGATCGGCCTGTATTTTAGTAATTCAGCAAACCCAGTGAACAGTGATAGGAGTTTATCTCAAGGTGAATCGTTGTTCAGATTGGCACTCTATGTCGTAGTCCAACTGCACAGCGAGAATTTCAAATGCTAAGAGCGAATTCCTAACCAATGCACCAAACGTTGACCCTGAAGCTCAAGGTCTGGCAATCAAGAAGTGGGCCATCAACCACTAGGCGCTAGTTTCACCCTCAGCCCCGACCGACAACCTCTAATCTGTACGATCTAAACAGAAAAGACACAGGTCAGGGAATGCAGAAACTGTAGCGAGTAACGTTGGCAATGTCTCTCGGGTGCGGCTCCGGTAGTCGAAGTGACGGAGATTCGCCTCAGACTAAACAGTGGCGCATAGTGAGGCTGCACATCGCATTCCAACAGTCTGGCGAGTACTCCGAACGCAAACAACACTGGATTATTCTGTACGTAACAGAGAGAGTAACGATGTCATCATGCATCTTCAGCCCGGATTCCGCCGCTACTCTCCACTTAGCTGTATACCGCAAGTCGAAATCGCACAAGTAAGTCTCCAACTAATCAGCGAGTGATTTGGCCACCAGGCCAGGCTGCTGGTGGCGTTTGTGAAACACTCTTGTGAAGCACTCTTTGTGCTTCATTAGAGCAAGTCAAAGGGTGGAAATTACAAGAGATTGGTTGCACGGTACGCGTGCACAAAATCCGTTGAGAAACGGTTGGCAGATATCCCTAAGAGAAGACTTTCATTATGCTGCCATATGAAGGGAACCAACATGGCAGACGATTCTAGTATCATCGCTACCAGACTGTAATGAAGTGCTACTACACTGCCGAAGTCGTGTTGCTGCACCAAGTGAGAAGGCTGCTATGTAAACCTAACCTAGACAAGCCAGACTCCCAAGTTACCGCCGCGCGGGTATACCATTTCACTGTACTTATGCTAACAAGTACGTTGGTTGACGTGAGCGAAGGCTGTTAACAATGGATTTTAAATCACATTCCACGAGTTATGGTCACGAAAGGTCTCAGGCTGTCGGCTTGCTCTACTGATCAACATTCCAAAATCCCTGCGAACCATTCAAAATAACTCACTGACAGAGTAATGTTTAGTAACTTCGATTTATCTCAGTTTCAGTGATTTGGTGGTCGAAACCCAATTGGCCACGAATGGGCTGTACCCAAGGACGCCGCGGATTTTTGTATTGTACCCTGGATTCTATTTTTGCCTCCGGATTACTGTCTTCTACGTGTTTTCTATGTGAACTTTGCGCCTAGATTCTTCCTTTGGTGTATTTTTCAATCTGTGCTAAGTTGGTGAATATTCTCTGGCTATTTTCGGAGATCCCAGTGATTGGCCCAACTGCCGTCCGCGACAGCCATTTTGGATTTTTTGCGGCCTTGTCGGCTAGTGCAACTGCATACCCCCCGGGACCGACGCGCAGCCAAATCAACCGCTCATTCGACCTTTAGAATTTCAACGCTCGCTTGACTGATGCTTACTGCCACGGAAGTTGGAAAAGTCATCAGTCGTCCCACTGGCTCAGGTAGTGACACCAGGCTGAATGGCATACATCGAATAAGTGCACATCTAAAAGGGCTCCAACCTAAGGGTGGTTGCGGGTCAGGGTAATAGAATGGAGTAGTCAACCTAGGCTTAGCTTGATTTCAGAAAACTTGATAGACGACCGGTTAATGTATTTATGGTGATAGACAACGTTTCGCTTTTGACACAAAAGCTTTGTGTAACTTGCGACAATCGAAGGGAAACTCCGAAGAAGGACACAGCAAGCCTGATTGTCTGAACACTATCTTTATTCATGGTGTGCCAGAGCTTCCTTCACACGATAGTCAAGAGGCCGGAAATCACGACTTACAACAATGGTGATTCATTCGCGAAACACTTCTCTTGGATAATATTGCGGCGGGATCGCTCAAAAGATTACTTCTCTGGCCAAATTATAGAGGATGCGGCTGGAGAGTTCTAAAACTCGTGGTTCAATCCGAGCAAGCGGCGACAGATGTGATACTCAGTTGGTGCGAAAATCGAAAAAGCTTTCCATCGGAACTTCGGTTAAGAACTGCAGATGCTTCGCAACGTCCAGTTAAGTAACCATCAGAAAAAGCAAACGTACCGGCGATGATTGGTTCTTTACCCAATACTGACGTAAAGCTAGATGAGGGTTGGGTGACGCTGTGGCCAGAGCAAGGTACGGAAACAGTATCAGTATCGCATCAAAAAAAACCAATAACGACCTACCTCACATCAGTCGGCACTCCCACACACCTGACTTCATTGACCCCCTGTGGTCTACTAGAGACCGATAAACTAGCCTGCTTGTACACCAATGCTCAGGACATCTTCAATAAGCTGGCCGAACTGAAAGATCGCCAAGTTTCCCAGAAATGTGATACCATCGCCATCACGGAGACGTGGTTACACCCTGAAATGACGGACGCTGAACTTTTGCTACCTGGCGTGTCACTCATTCGGAACGACAGATTGACGAAAGGAGGAGGCGTACTTCTGTATTCCCGAAGCGACTTACAGTGAGAGGTAATGAAGGATTCAGATTCGCTGATTTCTGATTCGTTTTAGTGCCGCCTGCAGTTAAGAGGCAGAGACACTTGTCTTGTAGCCTTGATGTTGCTTAGAGATGATGCTTAGAGTGATCTAGACACGGTACATCAGTGGTCCACACAAAATTCACTACAATGCAATGTGAGTAAATGCAAGGTGCTCTCCATAAGTCACCATAGCACCCACTGTTGCAGGCTCGGAACGCATGTGTTGCATCGAGCTGCCATGGAAAGTGATTCTGGTGTTCAGGAGTATCCGGGTTGTTCCAAGCAATCCGCAAAAGTCTCCAAAACTGGTAACCAACATGTGGACCTGTTACGACGGGCGTTCGAACAAATAGATCTCTCTATTTTCCGGCAGATGCATAGTGAGTATGTTCGTCCACATGCCGAATATGCACTTTAAGACTGGAATCCATGGCTAAAACATGCATTGGAGCAGTCCCAAGGTCGAGCATCAAAGTACGTTATTGGAATGCACCATCTTCCATACGAGGAGAGACTGAAACGATTGGGGGTATTCAACGGACGTTACCGCCGCTTATGAAGTGACTTGAGAATGGTGTACCTAATTCTGTACGATCCACATCAGGTGTGCCATTCTTTACTGCAACTTAGCAGTAGTACCAACTTGACAGGTCACTCCCTAAAACTGACAGAACAGTAAAGCCGCCTGGTTTGCCGCAGGAATTTCTTTTCCGTCTGCGTCTGTCACCCCTGGAATGCTCTTCCAGAATCGGTCATTTCTGCACCATCACTACCCATATTTAAAAGACATTTGAATGACTCACTTAGTCACCTACAGTTTGCTACCTAGTACTACATCTCCATCCCACTCCTGGAATATTCTTTGGATTTATTTGCTGTTACACGTTTGCGCTGTGAAACTACACGGATCGCAGGGTAGTCAGAACAAATGATAAGTTCCTCTTTGAAACGTAAATAACCCACTGCTTTTTATTTTTCGATAACCCCGCAAAACCACCCAACGGGACATGTAAAGTATTGCATCTTAACCCGTATAAATTCATTGTTCATTCTTCAGTTGTGTAGACAGATTGAGTTTATGACCAGCCTCGACTTGTCTTGGTGAAATTTTGATCGTTGCAAATTTAAACTTAATGTCCTTGAACTGGGATGTTCCTTGTACACAGGCTATAGGCAAACAGTTGACGAAAATACCCGAAATTTGTGCATTCATAATGTAGATGTTGTTCCGTCTTTCTACTTTGAAATTTGTCAAGAGAAAATGCCGCACGAGAAGTCCAAGGCGTAGTTTGTTGTGTCTAGTTCGTCCCTAAAACAAAGGATACTTGCAACTTCCCGCAATCACTGGTTTTGTAGCAGTACACTCCACCATTCTACTCCCGTGCCATTGGTAACCCAGGACCTGCTTTTCGATTATCTACAAACGCTAGTCCTTCTAACTTGGGTTATTATGCACACCTGGGTGTCTCATGTTTGATGCTCATTCTAGATTGCACGAGTCGGGAAGTGTGTGTTTTTGCTCACTGAGCCGGAACCTTATCACTAACAAACTCAGTGAAGCCCTTAACAATCAGGCATGGTGACAACCAGCGGTCACAATGTTTGGAAACCACTCATCCTGTGATAACCCATCCTGCAAATTCTCGTTCATACTGCTGAGGCTATCGCCCTTCAGGTCATTTGCAACACATAATTGACGTACACCAATGTGCTAATTCGTGTCATCCACATGGAAGCTCTGAAAGTTCATTTTCAATGGTGTCATTAAATTGATCCATTACATATAGTTTCAAACCCAGCTGCAACCTGTTTCCAGAGACCACAACTTGCTTCACCGGGAAGCTCGTTAATACTCGTTGTGCGGTTAACGGTGCGTTCTCAATTAACCGGGTCCTCAGGCGGAGTGTGAAGAACTATATTTCACGTATGGTCGAAATCGAAACCGTTGCTTGAATTTCAATGAAAAACCAGCTACGAAGCATGGGAGCAAGGTCATCGATCGATTATCGCTCTCTTGTTCCTATCGCTAAAATATGCAATGAGCCCAGTTCAGAAGAAGAAGTCAACTGCTGCTGCATCATACGAGTAGTACATTTACTTGCTTCTAACTGTGGTTAACGAACGCCGAATCCTGCTTGACCTCCGAAGGAAATTTACGCCAATACACAACGAGAAGTGAAACTGCCTGACAGGTTGCCGAAAATATAGGGAACTCGAGGAACGATAGATATGTCAACTCGGTATGCATTCAACTGTGGTTCAGCAGCCGCTGATGAAGGTATAGACGTACGCGATGAGCCTTTCAGGAACGCCTGAATGCTAAAATAAGTAAGATCGCGTCTCTTTTTTCATTCGCTCACAGCCCATCTGGCGGAGAGCCCGGCACATCAAGACCCTGCTCTCCGATGGTTTGTTTCACGCGCGTAATGCAGTGACTATGGGTAATCCCTGCGTGATTGCTACAGCTTCCCAGCGTATGTACTTGGTAGCTGTACTAAGCAATGATCACACCTGCTGTCTAGTAATCAGTGTGAGCTCGCATCACGTAGAATTGCAACCACTATCGGTCGCTGATGGCAATGAGCACAACCGTTAGTCAGGTTTAATAAAACATTTGTATGTTTGGCCACTAGAGTTTGAAAACCATCTATGCACAGTCATTAGCCAAAGCCAATCCAATCTCTAACAGGGTGTGCAACCTAGGTGAGAGCACATGCTCTGTCCTAATTGGTACTCATCGGTTGAATGCGGCCTCATATCAGGAGCACAGACGAATTGGTTTGATGACTCTAGCATGCCACTAGCGGTCATGATAGCAATGGGTTCAACCTGGTATTTTCTGCCCAATCAAGCCACTAGAGGAATACTCCAATCATGATGAGTTATACCAAGGATAAGCGGTGCTGGAGTTTCCTCGGTTTCGCGCTTACGAGTCCTGAGTGAGACTAACGGAGTTCAATTAACTGGACTCGCATTCACCACAGATTTCACGGGTATTTCTCGGATCATTCCATTGTCGATCTAAACCCTTCTTCTTCTTAGCAACATGTGAAAATTGTCTCTTGGCGTTAAGAATGTGATACAGACTTTATTCTCTTTCCGAAAACTAAACATAACTGATAATTACCGAGGCGTTAAGAAATTCCGGTAGATTCTTGCTGAGAGTGCACGAATAGTCCACGTTGTAGGCCATCTTTTCTAGCCATTGCACTTCCGGTAAATGGGCTGCAGAGAAGCACTCGATCTGGTTCGTCTTGACATGCTGCAAGCGTTCCAGGCATATGCATAGCTTGATTTTCAAAAGAAACCAGTTAGGATGCAGCACGTGTGAAGAGAAAAATTGCTGTATCAGGAGTCGCAACGCAATTTTTCCTAGTATCTGAAAGGAAACAAAGCGTCTGACATCACAGTGAGTTACTTAGGTGGGGCATGAGTGATGAGTTGGTGTTTGTATCCATCCAATCAACTACTGATGAAAATGGATTGTTACCGGCCTTAAATATAAAGTGTATAGCAAAAAAGGGAGAAGTAGCTTTGTTGTTGCCTTGATTAATTCGCGCAATATGTGTAGCAGGCACTGTTTGTCTCAAGCAAGTAACAACGCCTCCGTTGGTTGTCCATTCTAACAATCTTTTTGTACATATGATCAACTATGCTACTGTGTACAGAAAATAGTGAGCAACTAGATATACATCTGTGATTTCCCATCGGAGTTAGCTCGGGTAGGTACGCGGAACCACGTCGCTGATTCTTGCGCGTTCACCGCATAATATAGCTGCGCCATGAGTTATTCGGGTGCGGTGCGATCCCTTAATCAGTAATCCGTAAATTGAGTGTCTAGGAATTGCTTGAATTTCGACACCGATTTTGCCTTGATTATTTACTCAGGCAAACTGTTCAAACATTTCACCACTAGCCGCTCGATGCAAAGAGGGTGAGCTATCCCCTCTAGGTCCGGTACCATAAGATTGTACCGGTAGCCGCGAGTACTGCTTGGTGCGGGCACGTAAAGCAGTAGACGCAACATGTGGAAGTGACCCAGATGCGCCTTTATGAGGTCCACTCAAAACTAACGATATGACAGGGTGTACAGCCCTTTCGTATGACAGCCAGTAACTTGGGGATGAGTCTGGTAGATACATGCTGAACACATTCCAGTCTGTGCACCTCGCAACGAGTGATCGGAGAATAGGCAGGTGATTATTAGGCTTCCGCAACTGATGAACGGCGCGACAAGACATGGGCCCACGGCAAATCTTGCGGTCAGCTGACTCACTCAGTACATCATCGTCGCATGGATTGCTATGGTTTCGGACGTGATCGTGCCTACAGCTAGACAGTGGAGGCCGCTATCAGGTTTGAATCTGACTAGGCTAGGGACTTGAATCAGCCCAGTAACGGACTTTCACAAGTTCACCGTTCGGAAATTTATTCTGGTAGAGGCCATAGACAGGAGAAGCCGGTTGAAAGTTTTAGTGTTCAAACTGAGTAATGCCTACATCTACACGGGTTACTCGCACAACACGACTCGTAACACCCGGAACTTCATCAACACTACCATTTATAAATGATTATCTAAAGCAATTCGTCGAACATTGAGGTTCGTGTGGAGCGCAACAATCTGTTCACGGTTAACTAGGCCGTATCACTTCGTATGGTAATCTGGCATCGCGAATGCACTCGCTGTTTGTGTGCCAATGGCAGCGGAGTTGACACGAGATGAAGCAGATCATATGTGCTGATGCGGTGAATAGTTAGCCGAACCACAGTGTCAACAACTTACTGTTAACGAAAAGTATGTTTACCACATGGAAACACTAACAGCTTGAGTTGATGTACCACACACCAGTTAAGTCCTAGGCACTCGTCAACATCCCTTCGCAGCCCGGCATATACTGAATAGGTCTTATACGCTTGGTCACTTTCTCAATGTGATGTTCTCACACCATAAATCTCTTGGGTATAAAAGAGCGACACCGAACCACCTGCATCAACTTGACAAGCTTTGATCTTCCTCATGTGTTGGCCATGAACGTGCAAGTTTATCAGTTAGTGTGTAGAATTTGAGTGTATTTGCGATTAAAACAGATTGGTTAGATAGGAATATGTAGAGCGAATGAACCCTGACCTGACATCACTTGGTTGAATATCATCCAATCAATTGAAAATACACCGGGAATCCGTTTGGCAATCTGGAGGCTCATAAACTGGGTAGATTTCCGTTTTTTCAGAGAACGATCAGGTGGGCCAAAAACACTTTAAAACCACATGCTATCATCGCTGAATCATGGCTAATTTCCATGGTAGACATGCCAAAACTGCAATGTAACAAGATCGGCTTCCTTACGAACTGCAGGATCGGGAGCAATACAACATTACCTTTTGCTAAAACTTTAATTTGTCTTAACCACTTGAGTGGTTAGTTAATCATTGTTTACTGTGGGACCGCTGTATTGGTAGAAGAGAATGTAGTTTCACGATTTTCTGTTCGTAGAAACCGAAGTATAGTACACTATGTAAAAGCAATTCATCCCACATTGATTTTCTGCGCACTTTTACTGTTTTGAAGATTCGTGGCAACCTGCAAACTTCACCACCCGATAGTATATTCGTATGGGACCGGACAATTTGAATAACCCACCCAGAATCATACACATGCACTTAACCAGAAGCCTCCCCCCATATCTTTGGCGTTACCCGACTCTCTCTGGGGATAAGCTTGTCAACTTACCCTGCTCTTGTTCCTAGGTGTTGGTAACTCTTACGGGTTACGTAGGCCGGCCATTGAACACTGTGATATCAGAAGGTAGTGGGAAGTTAAGACTGAACTATACATTTAACAAAAAATGTATGTAGCTATGGATAACATGTGACACAAATCTCGTTTCTCACCCGTAGCATGGCTTCTGAGCAGGTTGATGTAATAAGAGTTTTACACATCGACATCGAACAGATCGTCCTATAGTAGTCTCTCGCGAGAATGTTCAGTATTCGTTGGCAAGGCCAACGGAGAAGCTGTTTTGAACCGAAATCCAGTACTCCACTCATTAAGGCCACTTGGCGCATCACGTCGGGAATCACACCTCGTGCTCCGGTGCGAGCTGCCTCAAGAGATATGCGCTTCTCCATCTGCTGAAGCTTTTGTCGGACACCATTCAATCGGTGCAACCGGGTTCTGTAGTCAGAAAGGAGATCAAGAATCTCAATATGGACCCGAACCAAATTTAAACTTGGTGATTGCTTCAGCTCAGAATCCCCGACGTCTGTGCAGTTCCTGACAACCTGGTGCACTTGTTTTTGGGGAAACATCCATTCGGCAAGGCCGGCCATGATGGTGTATAAACGGGTCTGCAGACAGAAGGAGAAAGAATCGTTTTTTAAATTGTCCGATAAAAGAACTGTACTCAGCACGCCAACAAGATGAGTTTCGAGGTACAGGTACCTATCAGTTTGATGTTTCTGATACTGACGTTTACTAATTACGAGTGAAGCGCTTGCGCGCACCATGACACATTACAAAACCTATTACAAACCTAGTCACTCAATGTAACCTCCCCCGAAGCAGTGTCACGTACATCTTCTCCTTAATCTAAACAGGATCAGCTGCAGTTCCTGACGCTCTGACCTTACTGCAAATGTTCCAGTTATAAGTCTTTCCTTCATTGTCCTACCTCATCCGGCCCCCCAATCCTGCGCTCCGCCCTCACCAACTACCCATTACCTTTGAGGATGCAAGCGAGCGGCCTACTGATCTGTGAAACAAGCAATGCATTAACTCTGTTAAACAGGGCAGGTTGAGAAAATTCGACCTGCAAACCGTTTCATTCTATTTTAAGGCACGAAAACTATGGCAGCAATTCGGTGTACAATCAATCGCTTCCACATATGGGCCGTACACCGCATGCCAGGATATCCATAAAGTACTTTATTAATTAACTCGTTAATGCCCCAGTCCACCCGTTGCAATTCGTCGGCTCCTTTTGGGCCACACAGTAAATGTGTTGCTTAGTAATAATACGTTTTGCACCACGCCTCTTACCGTTAGATCTGTTTTACACAAGTTGCATTCTCTCCATGATCGGGTTGTATCAGCAATTATTTCTCGTTACTGAAGCTTGCTGCACAACTGATACCTCAGTCACCTTTATATTTACGAATGCCTATCAAATGCTCTGGAGGGATGGCTACATCAGAGGAGAAGACCAGTGTCTTGTCTATATACTTATATCATATGATGCCTTCTTAATTGATGACTTTCCAATCGGCGCGTTGAGAACTGTGTGGCTGATCGTTTCGGCCAGCAAAATTGATGTTGTTTACAGGTTGGTTTAATAGTACGCTACAGGCTACACCCACTGCAATAAGAATTTTAACTAATGCCATTTATTCATGCCTATGCCCTGTGTGCCAAAATAAACTGATTGTGTGAAGATCTCGATGTACCGGATGGCAGATAGCCTATTCTGGTTGAGCCCTCAAAGCACCGCTAATTTCTGATCTAGTTAAATCTAGACGGCTGGACACAGCTCGTCTATGTAATCACCGGGTGCAGTAGTATTATTGATCCCACGTTTCCATTGGGATACCTTCCAAGACTATCTCCATTTTGTACACCTTTCCTGGTAGCGACCATAAAATCGTGAAATCTACATTTGCACTAGCTACTGCATACCGAATCAAAGGCATCATAGTCTCTTAAACCAGAAAAAGTGGGAGTGATTCAATGTGTCTACACATGGTCGTGCTTCTCGTCTTGTGAAACGCCATCCGGGTCATCTACACATCCCAACTAAATACACCTCAGCTTGCTCTGACTAAGATGCAGCAACATCTAGATAATCTAGACTTATGGTGCGGTATGTGGCAATGGATATTTGCGGCAGGTACTTGAAGTGTTGTCATGTGTAAGTGCACCCTCCCTTCTGAATCGTCTTACCTTGAACGCTGGTACATTTCTATCGGGAATCCATGAAAGCACCTTTAGAGAACTTGATGGTAGGTACTCCGGGATGTTCAGTTTCGCAGAGCACGTTCACTATCAGTTGGCCATATTCAGAATATTGATCGCGCATATAAATAGCTTCTTTTGGATGAATGATGCTGGACTAAAGCCTTTTAGTCTTGGGTTTTCCCTCGCTAGAAATGTTGCTAATCTATCTAGAACAATTTCCGCAACTCGTTGTAAGTAACTCTTGGAGGTACTGAAAGGTTTTTACGAAATGCTTGCAACGAGGAACATCGTGTTTCACCTACAACTAACGTATCGAGCCGGTGTGGATTCCTCACCGCTGGTTGCATTTGCTATCCTTTCATAACCTACTTCATAACCTGAGAATGATGCACTAATGTTTATATCTTGTCTAAGGTACCAATTGAGGAATCGGACGAATGTACTCCAAGTTGATCGAACCACAAGTTAGCTTCGTTTGAACTTTTATCTCTTCCGATACTCGATGATATGGTATTTGCTCCCTAATAGCATGAGATCAGTGATTTTACACTACCAATTAGGAGTGAATGTAAAACGTTAGCTAACAATGAACAATATGTGAAAACGGCCCAGAAAATGCGCAGTGGAAATGTGCGCGTGGGATTGATCTCCGAAAGCGTATTCTCTCCCTGCTCCACCATAATTTTCTGCGCTTATTCCGTCATGCTTAACTGGTGGCTTTCATGCCCCATGGAAGCTGAAAAGGAAATACCAACTGATCTTCATACCAAGCGTTTGCGCCACTACGACCTTTTTACTCTGTCCTTTCTCTTTCATATCCAGCATGATGTATTTAATACATCACAGAAGCCGAAAATAGAAGACAAACAAAGCCGCTCTTTTATTTGCCTCCATCTTTTATATCTTTACATGCCCGACAGTATAGTGATAAGAAACAGTCTGTGCGGGAACCCTTGTTCGTTGGTCCTTCACCTCCCCAATGCTCGTCATCTTCTCTAACAGCTATGTGTTCAACTCAATTTCCAACGAAAAGTAATGATTATGTTGTCCTTCAAGGTCGACTGCACGTTAATAGTACGAGGATGACGTAGAGCCATGCGGATGGTAGTTCTAGAACTCTAAAAAGAACTAACCGAGCTAATGCCATGGTGTCTATTACCCTTCCGATGCTGATACATTGACATTATGGTTATGCATACTCTTTTTTATTTGCTGTTGACCTCCACAAAATGTACCACGAATACCATCTGCGAAAACAATGAACGGAACATGAGCCTTTGAAAACTCCAGTGGAATTTGCTGGTTTTAAAGAAATTACTATATAAAATGATTATTACTGGAGCCTAAAGAAATCCAATTATACTTTTCTACTTTCATTCTTCCGGCACTCCTGCCCCCTGCCTGGTAACGCCAGCACTTGCACACATTCATTTATCCTTATACGGCAGTATAAAAATCTGTAATATTCTGAATCTAACCCTGCGAGGAGTCATTTTCTCGCCAGTTGGGGAAATATACTAGCTATTTATTTATGTACTACTGTCCCTGCATGAAAGTACCCTCCAGCGAATAAAGGATTGTTGAAACGAACCGTACAGTCTACTGTGTGCTCTTCACCTCCGAGCATTTAGCCTCTGGAGTAAGGCATATAAAAATTTTGGAATAAAATCCATTGCAACTTTAGTACTGTGATCCGTATGCGTCGTACAAAGTAACATGGTGGTGGATCCGAAGGGGATCCCTCTCAGAATCTGTGTGAGGATTTGCAGCCTCGTGATTATCGTACACAACAAGCTTAATAAGGTAAGTGCTTACAGATAAACTTAACGCTACCCTATTTAGCAAACACAGCAATATGCAGTGAAAGGCCGGTACCTTACAGATAATAGCTCTCAGGTACCAGTTGCAACACTTAGGGAAAGGGACCACTCCGTCGTTGCTTTATCAGAGACGATGCTATTCACAAAATGACATGAAGAGAACCTCTATAACAGACGCTCAATCGAAGCAGTTATTTGATGGTCATTTGCAGTCTCTGCATTATGTACCCCTGAATAGTGAATATGTATTGTCCCGTTAGTAAAGGGTTCCCGTGTAATGACTCGAACGAAGACTCGATCATCTGCATGTTAAGCGGGGTAATTAAGTAGCTTGTCTTCGATCTAGTTCGCGAAATCAAATAAACCACTCTCTAATGGCATCCTGTGAGATGAAAAGCGGTCAGTGCCAATCAAATGATGAATAGGAACACCATGGTTCTATGGTGTAAGACCCGCGTTTCAGCCTGTCAGCTGGACACTCGGATACAGCAACCTTCTTATTTACAGTCATTCAGCAAGCTACATTGTTTCAAGTGGTGTCCATGTAAAGGTAACAAATGAAAAGGAAAATAGTTTGTCGTTTGATATACCTGCAAAGCTTCAGTTTCGCACGTCAGAACAGCATCGTCTGAACGAAGTCGGTGCAGAGTTGACAATGTGTCATCCCTTGGATGTTGCTGGTGCTTCAGCATGTGTGACATCACAGCTCCGGCGAAATCCAGATCTGTCAGCGCAACATCGACGGGTACTGGGTTGAATTCGGATAGCAAACTTAGTGCTTCCCGCACTGTCAAGATGTAAGAAAATGGACAGGATTAAAGCGGTATGTTGGTTCCAAGAATCTGTCTGCTATCTCAGCCAGACATATGGCGACTTCGTGCGTAAGATTGATTTATGTTGAACGGTCTCATGGGAACAGTACACGAGAGCAGCCCAGCACGGACACTTTAACGCTTGCTGTACAGTCCTAATTCCAGCGGACAACCCTGGCAGGCAAGCCAAAGAACATTGTTGAACGTGTTCACTGGGTGTATAAAGTTAAGTTTCCTCGAAGAGTACTAAGTTACGAAGGGTTTCAAGACAGGCTTTTTCTAAGTGGTGAAAATGTTGCCTTACTGATTCAGAAATATGACCAGCTACTAGCCAAGTTTGAGGAAATGGTGAACACCAAAATCACTACGGTTGGGGTAAGCAAAGCGGACTATGTAACCCAATCCTCTCCCTTGGTTGCTGCTCCTAACCCGCGAAGAACTGCTAATAACACCGTAAGCAACACGACTCCTAGAGTCCAGAACAACAACAGCTGTCACCATACCACCTATAGCTCACATTTGACTAAAGCGGTTCCCAGTTCGATCGGAGTAACTACACGTAGGGCTACTTCCAAACTTCCGAGGGAGTGCGTAGAAAAAGAGCAAGCCGGTACTAGCGAAAGTTGGGTTACGGTTGCCTCCAAGAAGAGCCGTTATTTAAAATTAACGTCACCGCCAACTGGATCGGAAACTGAGGAGCGTAGCGCAGTTTTCCTAGTACAAGCACCACCGGTTTCCTGCGGTACATCTCCGAGTATTTCAATCACTAACCGCGGCATACCAAAAGGTGTAAAGAAACAACTACCTGCACAGGGCATACTGTGCTCCAATATCCCAGAATCAAAGTCGATACCAATAAGGAGCAGGCAGTTGGATGACCTCAACCAGTGGGATATTATTAGTAACCTAATCGGAGTTGTACTGAAACCTGTACACGTGGTCCGTATTACGTGAAACCCCAACTCTAAGCATTTCGGAGAGCCAAGACTTCTGCGCGTTGTGCTGAACTTCATCACTGAAGTGGAATCAGTACTACTGTCGGCAGGTAGTCTCAGAAATGAACGCTGCTCCATCCGTATCTTTCCAGACATCCCATTGGGCGAGCGTTATCCAGTTAACCGTACCTTAGAAGACTACCGAAAGTAAACTTCAAGGAGAACCATAACCATAATTCTTCACGGGGTTTCTGAAACTGAAGCATGTGATGAGCATGAAGTAACAACCCATGGTAAAGAACAGTAGTGTTATATTCGTGAAACACTCTGCTTGGATGATGTGTTAGCGAAATCCGTGTCACGACTGCGTACCTCACCGAACTACAAAGGAAGTGGCCCGAAAGTGTTGAAGGTGGTCCTTCATTCAAAACATATGGTAGCACGGATACTAAAAATATGGTACATGTTCCGTTGCAGGCTACCATCTGAGGTTCGGCTGAAGACAATCAGCGATATGCCCCTAGAGATGGTATGTCACTCAAAGAACCAAACGCGATGGGATCTATGAAGGAATAATGCACCAATAGTGTGCCGTATGAGCCCATACAACCTGTAGAAAATGGTATTGACCAGACACCTTACACTGTACATCGAAGATTAGACACGGGACTAACTACGCGGACGATGAATAAGACCTTAAACCCTTCACCAAGTAAACATCAAAAAACGATTAGTCGCCGGCCACTCACTCTTCGGCGAAACTTCGAGTACAAGTTGTACAACCTACGAAACATTGCTTAAATCTGAGCAGCTTTCATATATGTACACTAACGCCCAAGGGCTCCTCAGTAAAATTACCGAACTTCGACTACATCAGGTTGCGAATGCTTGAGACCTAATTTCTATTACCGAAACTTGGTTACACCAAGTGGTGACTAATGCTGAGGTTGAGATAGCCGGAATGTCACTCGTCCGGAACGACCGCCCCAGCAGAGGAGGTGGGGTCCTACTCTACTACCGCAGCGATCTACAATGTACAATAGTTGATGATCTGGAAACACACGTTACCGATTCACTTTGGTGCCGTCTCCGACTAAGACATAACGACGCATGTCTCGTAGCTGTCGTTTATCACCCCCCCAATGTCCACTCCGGAAATGGATTCTCGCTTGATCCGTGGCCTGAATAGAGTAACACGCACTAGGTACAGCCACATTCTCATCTCCGGGGACTTCAATCTACACAATCTGGAGGTTTTGGCATCACCCAGTGAGCAGTTCAAAGCAGACTTGCATGAACTGATCGCTAATATTCCCTTTTACAATCATACCACCACGCTCACTAGATTCAGGACAGTAAACAAACCATCCATATTGGACCTTGTGCTCACGAATGAAGAGCTCATGCTTGACAAGTTATTGATGGATAGTCCATTAGGTCTCAGTGACCATGTAGTAATAACTTTTGAATATGTGTGTTATGCAGAGTATCCATCTGAACACTCGGAACTAACTCATACAATCACCCGCCACCACGTATTGAAGGAACTCGTCGACGCAGCTGCTTGGGAATTCTCAAACAACAGTTTCCTTGCCAACGTTTGGACAGGGTTCGTTAATAGACTCAGCAACATCGTCAACCGAGCATCAGGGACCAAGCCCAATCGTCCCGCAAAAATGTCATCAATTCTAAGGAGCAGGGCTCGAAAATGCCTGGGGATAAAGGATGCAGCATGGCGCCTACAAGATTAACCCCGACTCAAAGACTTGGCGCAATTTCCTGACACATCGCAACCATTGCACTGCACTTGTCCGTGAGGATAAAGTAACTTATCAACAGTGCCTAGCCAAAATACTCATGGCAAACAACAAAATGCTATATAGGCATGTCAATAAGCTTTGTAAAGTGAAGCATGGAATCCCCCCACTTTTCACGACAGGCGGTAGAGTACAAAGCGCCGAAGAAGCAGCTAGTGCCCTGCGGCCACAATACGCCACAATTTTCGAACTCGCAACCTCTACCTGTCCCATAATGTCATGCACATTACCGACACCATTGTTTACACATGTAATTTTCAACCCATCAATTGTGCTAAGGAAGTTACTCTCACTGCGTGAGCCTAGTTCTCCGGGAGGAGACAACATCCACCCGAAGGCACTGAAGGCTGCGGCCAACAAGCTAGCTGAACCACTGTCACAGTTCTTCCAAAGGTGCTTTGATGAACAACAAGTCCCCACTATGTGGAATTGTGGCATTATCACCCATATTTTTAAAGGCGGTAACTGTTCAGATCCCGCAAACTATCGTCCGGTGACTCTCCTCCCTGTGCTCGCGAAGGTGATGGAAGCAGTCGTCGCTGAGGCTTTAATGGACTACCTGGAAAAATGCAACATTTTGGTACCGGAGCAGCATGGCTTCCGTCAACACCGGTCATGCACCACCAACCTACTGATTGCACGAGATAGTTGGACGGAGGTGGCTGATGATGGGGTCGGAGTTGACGTCATCTATCTGCACTTCTCCAAAGCTTTCGACCGCCTTGATCACCGCATCCTACTTCAACGGATACAGAATTACGGAATCAGAAATCCTGTACTTGGTTGGATTGGCAGCTTCATTCACCAACGGCGACCTCAAGTAGGTGTTACGGGATCCCTCTCTAACCCAATTGAAGTGGAATGTGGTGTCGCACAAGACTCAGTGCTGAGACCGCGCTTATTCCTGGTGTTTATCAACGACCTCGCAAGAGTTACCTCAAATTTCCTGCTTTTGGCCGACGACGTCAAGATATGGCAGGCGATTAGTAACAAGCCAGATCAGGATCTGCTGCGACATGACCTAGATTGCATTTACGAATTGTCTAAGAGGAACATGCTTCAATTGAACATAGCTAAGTGTAAGGTGATACATCTGCGTCACTAGCCGGTGAGCGCTTACAAGCTTGGAGACCACATCTTGGAGAAGTTCTTTCAGGAGCGTGACCTGGGTGTATTTGTACAGGAAGATCTCGGGTGTTCAAAACAAGAAGAGAAGGTAACGAGAACTGGTAATCAACACTTCGGCCTGCTTCGCAGAACCTTCGGTCGGTTTGAACCCTCAATCTTTCCCCAAATTCTTAACGCCCACGTGCGACCGCACGCGGAATATACTATCCAAGCAAGGCAGCTGTGGCAGAAATAAGATCTCGTTGCTCTCGAGACTCCTCAACGAATGGCAACCAAGAACGTCAAGGGCCTCTTTCATCCGCTCTATCAGCTTTGACCGAAATCTCTAAGAATGCACAGCAGTCGATATCGGCTTTTGCGGGTGGATCTCCTAATGGTTTACCAGATTCTGAAGAACCCAAACCACATTTGCCGTCCGCTGCTGGAATTGAACCACAACACTAACCTAGGAGGTCACCCTCTGAAACTGACAATTCAGTATAGCCGGCTTGAACGCCGTAGAAATTTCTTTTCCCTCCGCGTGTGCCAGCCCTGGAACGCCCGCCCTAATTATGTCGTCTCTGCTCCCAACCTGACAATATTTAAAAAACGTGTTGACGATGCATTGTCTCACTCACATTTCATTTTATGACTTGTTAGCCGGGGACTACAAAACGCAATCAAACGGTGTCTTGCCAAACGCCTAACCAATGGATTTATGGATTTATACGTTTAATACGAGAACATCTCCGCTATGCTACATAAGTCTATGGTGAATCCACCACAACGCTTTTCACTTTATCATGCAGTTCACTTTTTGCAATAATTTCCATCCCACGGGACTTGTTAAGCATTGGTTTTGTACCCGTAATACACCATTGTTCCATTGTTCCATAGGGTAAGCGCTTTTTTTATTTACGACACGCACGCTTAGTCTCAGTGTAATTGAAATGCTGGTGGCTGCGCTTGCAGTCTTAAAAGGTTCAGCTTGTCTTACATGCAATGCTGCTTTTTGACTCGTAAGACAGGGCTCATCGGAATTCTGCCAAAATAACGTATCTCAAATGTGTGACAACTGACGGAAGGGCGTCTGCACTAACCCCCAATCCGGAACAACCTAAAGCCAACTAACATGGTGATGAAATACGACTGCAAAAGAAGCGATAAGCTAAGGCACCAAGTTCTTTTTCACGGACATCACTCGCTGCTGCCTAAGGAGTTATACTGATTTTTTTGGAAGCCAGCAACCTATTGTAGAAGGACTGTCTAGGCTTTAGGATTCGGTTTCGATTCTTAGTAGTTAGATGTCCACGCTGCTGTGGGACTGGCTAGCAAAATCGGATTTCTGTTTTAGCTTGACTTCAATGGAAGGTTGCCAAATCATCTCCTCAACCCACGTAGCCTAACACTAATGGGAATACGTTCAAGTGGATTCCTAATCTAAGGACATCCATTATTTCATATGAACTCTTACCCCATGAGGTTCACTGCACACACCCCCCAGTCGCTGCTATTAACCAGTCCAGCTGCAGCTGGGTGGTTGTACCCCAGGTGACAAATCCAGCCAGCCGTCTCCGTTTCAGTGAATAGGCGCCTATTATTCCGGTTCATCGTCCGACTTGCAAACCTGCTTTTAGCTGGCTTCTGCTGGAGAACGTTGAATTGGTACAGTATATCGGCCTTCATCGGTTTGTTAAGGATGCGTCCAAGAACATGACGACCAGTGGCTTATGAACAAGATCTATTAAACGAAAAGTTACCCGCTACTTTTAACGTGTCCCGTGTTGTGGTGCTTCACTGTTGATGCGTTTCTCTATTAAATTTTTGTGTTTTGCAGTGATGCGAGAGCTAAATTTCACTCACTAAATACTGAAGGCATCTAGCTCCCGATCGACCAATAGTATTCCTCATTTTCCGGAGTTCGTCACGTTTTGACAAACGCTGCTAAATTGAGTCTTCGCCTGTGATTCAATCCCCAGTGATGGAGACCAAGTGTTTCATAGGGTTAACTAAAGAAGTTCATGATATCTGATTCATTAGGTGCCCGTCTGTTTTCGGTATCTTCAGCTTTTCCGATCCCTAAGCTAGTAACTAGGGGGGTTTTCCACGACAGCAAGGAATTTAGCCGTGAGACACACATGCCACATTCTTGGCAATGTCGAGTTCAGTGATGGCGAAATGGATGTAGTCACAGCAGTTCCAACGCATGAACCTTTATACAGCGAGTTACAACTCAAAAGCCTGTTGCTGCATCCCATTTCCAATAGCTCTTCTCTTTGCATCTGGACCGATGGTAGTTCGTCGCACTAGGTCCAATCAGAATCTTCCCTTTGACCTCTTGGGAGTGGGAAGAAATTTTCGCCTTGGAACAGCAACAGCGGTTTTTTTAAAAAGTAAACAGTGATGGTATAACACAACTTATCCTTAATGGCTTGTCTGTAAGGCACTTCATCCATCATTCAGTCACCAAGTATGTTCTTTCTTGGTCCAGTTAGAGGGTTGAAATGAGCATAATAATGTGATGGTAACCATTGTGCTTTATAAACGTGAGATCCATCTCGGTATAGCTATGCCTATTTGCGATATACCTGCTTTTGCCTCACCTTTATCGTCCCGAATGTAGCTGTGTGTTAGAAATACCGGAGAGAAGTTGTAAGCTTTGTACCAGTTTATTTCGGCATGTATTCTCTGTAGTTTTTCACGATACGCCATTAGCTCTTCTCCCACTCCGAGGACATCATCCAACTCCAGTACGAGTAAAGCATCTTGATCGAAAAAGACAAGAGAAGCATAGATAAACCTAACAGTTTATCAGCGGCTCTCAGTTAACCTACAATAAAATGATGCTCTTCAACCAACAGAGCAAGCTAGTCAGTGTAAATCGCATCCGGGCGCAGCCACACTCCTCAGGACCTCGATTAGGTGCGTTATCTCGTAGTATTCTACGTTTCTCAGTCTCTTGCTTCCAGTCCGTTCTTCTACTATAAGTACAACGTGACGTGCGCCAACGTTCGTAGACCTCAAAGCAACTAAGTCACCAAAGGAGAGATGGCCGCAACTTCGATGGCAAATAAGTATTGACCACAGCAATAGTTAGTGAGCACTAGCACAGATGTCCATAAATCTATACCTACTATGCCCCTTCTGATAGGTATTATTTATTAATTGCCTTGCTCAGTTGTGCACACTTGTCATGTGCTGAGTAGTCTTGGCTCACAACAGCGTTGAGGATCTAATTGGTGAATTCAATGCCATCTAGTCTATAAATGTGCGCCATAGCTACCCTCAGCACTAAGTCCATTAATCTTCATCCGCAACCACAATGTTTCAGCAGTCTGTGTTGTTGCTTAGCTGTCGTGCAGCGTCAGTTGACTTCATACGAACCGGGATAAGGTCAGCGATCAAAAATATAGAGGCGATATACTGGTGGACTGCTGCCAAACCCTCTGATTCAAGTTCCTAATGCTGGAGTACCCAGACCTTGATAAAGATCTGCACCACGGGTTATCTGTGAAGAAAAGTATGACAACCCCATCTCAGCACCCAACTTGTAAAGTGTGGAAACAGGTTATTTGAATCCATCTCACTAATAATGCGAATAGAAATAGCCACCCACGTGCTCAGGAGCATCTCCTAACATAGTCCAACGGGTTAGGAATGTGCAAGTGGCGTTGTGGATAAATGAAACACACAAGAGAAAGGTCAGTATCACATCAATGACAACCAAAACTTACATAGCTTGAAGAGAATGTGGTCCTGTCTAAAACAGCACACACTGGTGTGAAACGGCTTTAATGTTCAACAGCCCTTATCATGAACCGAAAATGGCTCATAGTTAAAAACTGCCACACGGGACAGGTGTAGGGTACGATATGTGCATTACTCTGAAGCTAGTCTCTGCATCCTCTTCAGTAATCACCTTTGCCAGCTCAGCCCATTATAATAGCTCAGAATCCAAGAAAACAATAGTTCACAGTTTTATAGCTGTTATAATCACAACCCATATCCACAAACACGGCCAGGGGTAGCAGTCAAATGATGCATCATGACGGGGTTATTAATTTCCAGTTACTTGTTAGGCAAATGTTACTTTGAATGTACTCCTCTTATTAATGTAACACAAATTATATCAACTGCCCTTTTTGAGTGTTATAGGCGGTCTTTCAGGATGATTACCACAAAATCATGGTATGCCAACGTCCAATAGCCAAAAAACGCCTTGATGTAACGCTTTCCAACTTGCATTACTTGATTTAGTCCGTTCCATTTGGAGGACGAAATAACGCAAACCTAACCATGTGCTTAAAGGCCCTCTCCGCAACGTGGCCGTGAGGATACATGCAGAAGTGTCCATGTGATTAGCCTGGATGCAGATAAACTGGATTAACATCCCACATCCGTCAAATGAAGCAACACGCGAGTGAGTGTTGTCGTTTCCTTTGTTCTTTCTCACAAATTTACTGAACTATAACGACACTTTATACTAATTTGTGTGTGCACATCCCATTCCCACTTCAAACTATCATTGTGCAGTAGTACATGTAAATCGATACTCGCTTAACCTAACGATTTACTTATTCGAGGGCCTTTAAAATTTTAATTTTTACTCCAACCATCCTACGGGACTTGTCAAACACATGCTATTTTTACCCGTGATAAGTCATTGTTCATTGTTCAAGTTAAGCCTCACTTCTTCAATTCATCAGTGTATACACCGAAGCTGACAAAATACGGTGACCAAACAGTTTCTTCAATAGCCAACAGTGCCGCATACGGAATCTGCTCTCTCGCAATGGTATTGTAATCGTTTCGTTATACATGACTGGAAATACCGAAGTCAAACCGATCATCGCCAGGTATCAATATATATATATATATATATATATATATATATAAGCGCTCTAGGTAGACCCCAAACAAACGTCGAGTGATCCGGTACACTTCCTGTGAGGTCGTATTCGGTAAGTTTCACTGAACTATCTGTACCAGTTACAGCGAGCACTCTTAATGCCTCCCAAGCAATATGACCTTATGCGGAGTCATTGGTAAACTATCGCGGTTGTCTGCGTTCGTCTCTAATGTTGCCCCTTTGATCCTAGGCAGCAGTCTGATTGGTTCTGGATTGATAACTGCCTCGCTTACCAGGGCTTCGTTTCGAACACAGTACATGAAACTATGCGTTTAAGTGACCAGTGAAACACAACTGTTTCTCCACCTAGAATGGTCGACTTGCTCAGCCACATGTGAGGAACAGGCGGTCATATAATTATACAGGTCCAAATTAGTCATGAATTCGATATGAGGCCGAAGCACTAACCGATTGCATACTCTGGAGTATTGAAACCGAGTGTGCTATACACAAAGCAAGTGGCCTTTATCAAAAGTAAAGTGACAGTCGACGTGTGGCCAAAGTGATCTAGTTGTGCAACATTTTAGATGATAAAGCAAAACGAGTGACCTAGAATTTGCAGATGACATGAAGCTAGTCTACAAATTCTGACGAGCTGTGCGCCAAAATACACTATTGCTCATACAGGAAGACATGCACTTCCTTGAAAAATGCTGCGACACTTCAATGAGGAAGTTTTCGGCGAAAAAATCTAGCATCATGTATCACGGTTGTTCGATACCCGAGGGATCGATAACACTAAAGGACGCACACCTTTGTGTACAGCTGTCTACCCGCGACCTCGGAATCAGGTATTCCTGCACTTTCAACTTTTCTGAACAAGTGGCGTACCAGCTGGCTAGGGCCAGATCCACATAATACCGACCAGAGTAGAAAGCTTCGAAACCCTCACTCGCGCCCATTTTGGAATACTGCAGTATCATTGGTGGCAGCATGATGCAATCTGACAAGCTCTGGAAAGCATACAACGATCATTTACCAAAGGTCTGCTAGGCCAAACATCCACTGATAATTATCGGGAGCGCTGCCAACAATTCCAGCTCTATCCGATTTGGCTACGAAGATTGAGACTTAACCTGATGCTTCTGTGCAATACTATTCCCCAAAATGCCCACTGTTATTTGCCCTCCCTGGAACTGCAATATAGTTCGACACGAGAGCTACGTAATAAGAAGTTTAGCCTGAGTGTACCCGGGTGCATGGTAAACCTGCGGTCTAATTTTTTCCTTCTCAGATATGCTGTCCTGTGGAATAAGCTCCCAGTCACAATCGAATCGTGTGAGAGCATAGCGACCTTTCGCGTTAAGCGCACAAATTATCTAGATTTGAACACGATGATGACCCTGTTCTCTTGGGAGAGAGCACTTGATGATTTGTACCAAGAAGGGCCAGACAACATCTAATGAGTAAAAGCAATTTTCATACTGTGTGACCTACCCCTAGTGCTGTTATTAACCACTATTGCAACTAGTGCTCATTGCGTTGAAACACATCAGTGAGGAAACACAAACACTTGAAAGTGCAAAAGCAATGCAAACCATATAACTGTTTATCATTCATGCATGAGCATGAGATATTCTGTAAAATATGATCTGTACCAAATATAGCCAAAGTTTATCACTCGATGAGAAATATACCTATTATTATTATTATTATCATGTGATTAGGCGATTACTAGGCAATGATACCCTAGTTAGTTCCTTAGAACAAAAGGTAGTACAGTAACTTGCATTGGCTTGGGTACGTACTACGGATGCCTGGTCGCCGCTTACCGATAAAGGCCTTGTTTTATCTGTCAGATATAGGGTGGCGTTAGGCTCGTGGTGAACAAAACTTGTCTTGACAGTGGAAAATGAAGTCACTGACGAGCAAACGGTGACGTCCATCTGTCTCGTCTTCTAGACGCAAGTTGTTCCTAAGGAAAGATGAACCATCAGTCGTTACTGGATGTTTACCTTTAGCCGATCCAGTTGTCACTCCTGTGAAACTTCGCCCGAGAATTTTGAGACAATTCCATCGATGTCATCTTAGTATTGGCAAAATGAAAATGATTGTGCGGTTTTGTGTATTTGCCAAACATCAACGCGGAGCTCGAACAGCCGATGAAGATATGTCTAAGATGCGCGCCTGCCTGTAAGTTACCCTGGAAAATAGGATTATCTTCTGAGCCCTCAGCAATGATGGCGTGGGAACGCATACATGCTGATTACTTTGGTCCTGTGAGTGGACAGCAGTTTCTCATCGTTGTGGATTTTTACAGTAGATGGCTTGATGTGTTCCGCTTTGAGCATGTAACCAATGGTGCAACTATCAAACTACGGCGAGGTCTTTTCAGCCAGCATGGGATACCGGAGATTCTGGTCATTAACAATGGCTCGCAACTCACTTCCTATCAATTTGAGGAATATTAAGCGCAGGTTTGAAGTACACAGTTGCGCTCACCTTCACTAGACCCCCAATCCATTGGACAAGTGGAACGCTTTGTTGATAGGTTCAAACGGATACTACTGAAAATACGGGGAGGGGGAACCATACAGGAGGTATTGGATATTTTCCTGCTTATGTACAAGTGAGTCCCAAACTCTCGGGTGCCAACCAACGTGTCACCCGCAGACGTACTCATGAGAAGGGAAATTTGGACTGTTAACTCATTGCTTCTGTGCATGAGCACTATCCCGCAGGAAATAAATATAAAAATTGGGTGATATTATAATCTAGGAAACGGAATCCAAGGACGTCATTTTCACACTGGACGGAAGGCTTTGTTCAGAGATTTATCGCACTGGTAAACGAATTATGGACAACAGGCTCGATTCAGAGCAGGATAGGAAGGCTGATCATCAAAGTCAAAGTAGGTGATTTAATTTCGACCAGATACGCAAATCAGTTGAGACCTACTAGTATCCGAAAGAGTACGGATAACCGATACGGATCACTTGGTCTTCTCTTGAACAGCTTCGACATTCACCCTAGAATTCCGCACGTGTCTGACAGTGAGTATGCAACAGTTTCGGGAGACATGAATTTGCAACCAAGACTTTGCAAGACGTTGTGCAGGCGAACTTTGTAAGCAAGAGTGCTGAACCACGCAAAGAACCATGATGATGCCCGTAAGCTACAATTTGTTTCTGATTAGAACTATTAACAATATCCGAGAAATTCGGACTGACAAGCACAGTCGCTTTTAAAAAATCTGGTAAGAATGATGTCCAGTTGAAATTGCACGCCATTTAACGACTCATGGGGAAAGACCCTCTGCATTGCGTGTAATTCACTTCATCCGTAGGACTGAGCACTTTAACTGCTGCCGATCTACGCGTAGCATACATCATACATGGTTCAGCTGAAGCCCTTTTGCCACGTCTGAAGCTGCTTCTGACTATAGGTGATTCAATACTTCAGTTAAGTACCACGTTCGATTTTTAGCGTATAAAGCCACTACACCAGCCTATGGGATGCTCAACTACAAATCCGCAAGCCAAAGTTCAGTATGCCCTACACATGTGAAAGCGTCCAAACGTACAACCTGCGATGAGCGAATTAGAGAGACAGTGTATGACGTCTTTATGAGCTGGGAATGAGGTTACATCTAAAGTGTTTGACCGTCTATGATCTACGTATGATTTACACAGGTTACAAAGTGGCCCAATATCCAAACGCAAATTTTGAGATAGGCGCAGCAATATTTCCCACTTCTCACCTTTCTGGTTTCACCGTGGTTGGTAATGATTTGAGCAGACGAACTGCCACATGATCCGGATCACAAAGCACTGCCGTGAGTCTCTCAGTATGTCTAAGCAACTCCGCGTCATTCACGCTGCGCTGCAGAAGTTCTCTCAGGCAAACTACTGTGCACAGTGTGGGGGTCAGGTTCCCATTGCTAGGAGCCAGATGCAGTTCCACCGGGAAGTCCGGATGAGTTAACCACCGGAGGAAGTCAGACGATCCTGATGATCCCAGCAATTGGATCGCGCTTGCTCCGTGACCATCCCGGATGACATCTTTCAATAAAAAATAGTGACACACTGCTTCACCCAGATGATGCTGAAGGGAGGGAGAATAAATAATGGTAATACTCAGTGCGTCGGCCGAAACAGGTCAAGGTATTCCAAGTGAGCTCATCAGATGTCACAATTTACCGGAAAACAGAGCTCACTATGGTATTCTTATTGCGCCCACAAATTGCAATTCTTACAAATACCTGCTTCAGAAACCCTCACCGAAATGAGTTGCGTCTCTCACGATACACTGTGTCATTGTATATCAATGCCACTTACTAGATGTAAGTACAAATCCAGTTACGCTCACACATGTGCCTCGTACCCGTCTGTCGTTTAAAATTTTACTACCAATCTTAAATTGCGAGTATGTCTATGCTATTTATCGGTTACTTTGTATATTTCCAAGTATCAGGCCTGCTTTATAACGCTGGTAATCTTTCGGTCCTTGGTTCAAAAAGCTGAGTCTTGAATTGACTTAAACTGCAACTTTTTCGCTACTCATTACAGGATCAAAAACACATCACTAATTTTAATGCCATGCTTCCCATAGTAAGACATGCACTGTCTGAATAGTGCACTGTACGAATTAGTTGGGTTGGATAACGCCCGTCGAGTCGCCTTGCGTTTCTCTATTCAATGATTTCTCTTGCAACACTCGACTGGCGGTGTAACGATGCAAGATGTGCAATGGAGAGTACCAAAAGTAGAGACACGTACAACATAAATGTTACATGTGAACAACTCCTCTAATCTGTCGTATATTTCGCTGTGTTGAACAGTTGAACTGTTAACCTTGTTCGTTCAGCAATCGTGGATCGCAATGGGAACCACCTGTTTCTTTTGAGACAAGCGTGCACCCTCACGTTGGTCGTTGCACCATCGCGGGTCTTATTTGTTTCCCCTAAGTTTCACTTTTATGCAGGAATCGATTCGCAGTGAAAGAACGAAAAACCAGTTCACAGTTCTAATAAATAGTAGCAGGAAGCTTTGTTACTGCGGTCTCAGTCTCGGAACGACTTATGTTTACTGTAATAATTACTTTCCCAATTAATACTTCGTATTGCAATCGAAACACATGACAAGTACTTCAAAACTCGATGAAGGATGTGAAACACTGTAAGGCTATTTACTACATCTGAGTTCAGCCAGGCAGATATCGCATATCCTGCAATATTTTGGACAACTCTTTTATCCAAATGTAGTCTATCGGCAACCTTTATACAAACGATTAGGGGCCATTTATTTCGATCTAGTTTCGACATGTCCACTTAAAACTCGGACATTCGTGTGGAGCACATTCAGTTAATGCTGCCAATTGTTTATTTGTTAGTGATGCACTGCTACATTAACAAATAAAATGTGTGTATATTCAGACAGGCGGGACATACGACTTGTCGGCCTGTCTCAATTTCCGAGAAAAAGAACTAATGAAGGCTGGAAGTCTCTAAATCAAAAGACGTGCAATTGGATTTGGCGTCATGCTGCATTGGGAAATACGTTAGTGAGTTATGGATAAAGTGCCAAAGTGCGACTGAATCGTGTGTCATAGCATCAATAGTACCACGTGTTGTGTGTAATTGTTGAATACGTGGGTTGACCCCATGGTTTCTGTACCAGTCCTTCACTAACAAACTTTCTAAATCTATTACCCCTTCCATAGTACTTGCTCCCAGCATCTCTTTCAAATCCAAAGCCCATAACCCGCAGCTACTCCAAGCTAACCACTTTACTCCAACTTGACATCTTAACCTAAATTAATTCCTTAAAAGAGGCAGTGCAGATCGGAAATATCCCGAAGTACGCCGAGTTGCCTCTGAAAATACTCAGTCAGTAGGACGTCCAGTTTCATCGGGTTAAACATACCGCTATTGTAAGAGAACATTACAACACGAAATGCGCCGGCCTAGCACCGGAAAAGGCATAAGCAGTACGCCGGCACTTGAGTGCCACGCAACCGTCATCAGCCTCACGTGGGCCAAGGATACTGCGAGGGTCACCCGGTCCCAACACAGGCTCGAACCCTCGATCTCAGATTATAAGGCAGGTTTGTGGTCCTTAAGACTACGGGCCGGCGAAAAAGGCGGACCGTACCGATTTTGTGAACATGTCGGGCCCGACTGCTAACTTGGCTGAGAGGCTCTGGCGATAACCACCCGATGCTGCCGCTTCCAACCCTCATCATGATTGGTTTGAGTCACCTCATTCATTCCTTTTCATTTGCCTGGGCACGGTAAGTATCATGTAGTCAGCTTATTCGATTAAGGCATTTGTGTCTGCTTGACCTCGCGCTCTCTGTATTGCCTCACTACTACCTGCTAGAAAACGGCTGAATGAGCAATTCGCTGCGTTATTGTGTAGTTAATCACCTGTTGCGAGATAAACGCACTAGAGAGCAGCTAAGGTTTGATCAACGTCGTTGGTTATAGTTTCTTGATTAAGCTTGGTTTGTTTGAATCCATTCTGTGTTCAACTCAGGCGCAACCGGATCGCCCGAAATTTGACGGTCCTCCGGCACATTTTGCAGACTATCTGTTTGCCAGCTGCGTGGTTCGGATTTCTCCGTTCCAGCAAAGTGTTAGACTGAGACGTAGCGGATGTGACCCACCACAAGCTAAAGTCACTGTCTCTTGCTTATCCGATCCACGAACCTCAATCTCTTCGAACAATGGTGACACAATCAGTCGAAAATGTAGCGGCACATATACAAATCTAAGCAACATAGCCACAAACGTATAGACCTACGGGGCCTTTAAACGGACCGTTACCTCATCAGTGAACATCATTTTAGTTTATCTATTGCAAATATCTAAGTTTCGAAGGAATATTTTGAAATCTTTTGTGTCCGAAGCGCTTCCGAGGTCACTAAGACCGTCTTAATCTCTACATTTGGAATACTAAGTCCAGATACCACGCACTATTCGCGATTTGTTGCTTTTGGCTACAAACTTTTAATGCGGTTGAAACCAATACTAAAGAAACGTCTTCGTATAACCACTTACTTCGATAAAAGTAACCTGAGGATTTTGTTTATCAATTTGTGCATAGTGCCCAAGAATGTGAATTGTTCTACTCGAGTGACATCAATGCATCCTTCCTATTTGTTTATCCACATATAAACCTTTGCAATTGTGATGATGCTATTTTGCTTCATTCATAGTTGATAATGTAAATTCCTGAAAATGCACCCATCCGGGTACATAAAGCTTATCTTGACCTGACCTGACTATATATGCACTCACGTGTACGCATTCACTGTTATGGCAAAATCGTTTTTTGTACATTTTCCGATCACTCATTGTCCTCTTATTATGAGCATGCCTGTACAAACGTGCCTCGCGTTGTCGTGGATAAACTATTTATTTATTTATATAGGTGAAACGAATGTTAAATACTTCATATTTTATGAAGAGGACGCCGAAGAGAAATGAATATGCTCCTCTGAGGACGTAAACTTCAACGGCCGACAGTTCACATTGTCATCCCATTTTAAGGGTAAATATGTAAGCCCAACGATGCTTGCTGCATATCTGTGACACCTAATTATTTCACTCTTAGCCAGTGGCGTAGTAACTACTTTTGACGTCCCGGATGGTGGTAAAATTTTCTCCCTATTTGAGGGCAGAATAAGTGCGTGAAAGCCACAGAATCGGCTCAAGCTAAAGTGCACATTAGCTTTCGATGAAATGAATGGTCGTTTGGGACGCCGAGGTTAATGTGGTGAAAGTGACCACAATGGGGCATGTAAAAGAATTTCTGGGAAGAACCTTTGCACAGGTGTAACACATGACCCAAGTGTTCTGTCGGTCATACAAAGTAACGTTAAAATATCCAAACTCCAGGTTATCCGGATATTTTACTCTTTATGTTTGGTGTCGAACAATCGACCATCCTAAAAATGCCGTCCCATGTTACTTGCCGTCCGCCCCCTCATGCTACACCACTGGTCTTAGCTAAGCTCAACTGAAATGAAGCACTTCTCCATGTTGGTTTATTGGTATTGATCCACGCATGACTTCTATGTCCTGTGCTTGTCCTCCATAAGTTCGATCGAGATGATCGTGTCATCGATTGGATTAGTTTGTGGTTTGCAGTGCAGACCGAGATTGCAGTTGCTAATAACAACAGCGTGTCGCTGGACTTTACTTTCATATATTTCTTATAAGTATTTAGTACATTATCCTAGGGGCAGCAACAATTCATAAAATGTGGTTATTGTGACAACAATGGAACATCAAACATTAACATTTACCTGCAACTTTGTGAGCATCTTCTCTTTCAAAAGTTCCCACAGAGGTTTCCTGAAGGTCGGATAGATCAGTGATTAGTTGCTCTCAAAGCTTAGTGTCGGTAGACGATCAAATAGGGCAAAAACTTGACGGCCAAAATCATCGAACAAATCATCGAAATTAAGAAAACACGGTTGCAAAGAGATCTCTTTTCGGTAACTCACATCAGGCAACTACTTTTGCAAGGATAACTGATAAGCATAAGTTAAGGAAAGCTGAAAAGAAACTATACCATTTCCCAGGCAAGTTGTCCTCGGGCAACAGAAATAATCTGAGGGGGCATTCAACATGCCTCTACTCATATTTCAGTTGTCAGGCCAGGTGTCAACTCGTCCTATTGCTCTGTCATCGCCTAATACTAAGTACGTCCATTCGGCCGTGCATATGCTCCCCGGTCGCCATATGGAATTCGCATGCAATGGTACGACTAAACTGTCCACGACCAACTGAACGAGGCAAGTTACGGTCTTTGGTATCCGATGGCAACAACCGGTGTTATGCACAGGAGACACTGATAAGTGTCGCGAAATCCTGTGCTATGTTGCAAGGGTAGTGTGTGGCTGACGTAACACGGAAACAGCAAATTCCTCATCCTTGCTACTAGGGAATCGTGCTACTGTGCCATTGCGTTGTAACAAGAGGACGCATCCAAAAACGCAGACATCTCCAAGTAACAATGATGAGAAATTTGCTGTTTCCGTGTTACGTCAGTCACACACTATCCTTGCAACATAACACAGGATTGCACGACACTTATCAGTGTCTCCTGTGCATAACACCGGTTGTTGCCATCGGATACCAAAGTCCGTGACTTGCCTCGTTCAGTTGGTCGTGGACAGTTTAGTCGTAGCATTGCATGCGAATTCCGGGGAGCATATGCACGGCCGAATGGACGTACTTAGCATTAGGCGATGATAGAGCAATAGGACGAGTTGACACCTGGCCTGACCACTGAAATATGAGTAGACGCATGTTGAATGCCCCCTCAGATTATTTCTGTTGCCCAAGAGGACAACTTGGCCGGGAAATGGTACAGACGAGAGTCTGAATTTAGTTGGACGGAAGTTAATTTGATCGGGCCAAGTGGTAAAGCCTGTGTTGTTGATGAAACCTGACCTTATTTGACCCCAATTGATACAGTTCGTGGAGCATTTCGTGAAGCAAATTTGGGTCAGCCGAGAAATGATGTCACCTTCGCTCTCATTAATTTTCCATGCGGATGCATCCTTATCACGGCCACGGCAACGTGAGTGATTGCAGTAGCATCCTCTGATTGCAAAGCTCCAGTTGCGTTAACTGATGACAGGTTTGCGCCAGTGTGATCTCAAAAGAGTCTCGGCAAGCGAAGACGTGGGTGTTAGCCAGTTGGTGCATTAGGTTTACGAACTTGGTTTTTGGGTGGAGTTGACCGCATGTCGGTTGACTGAAGCAAACTTTCGGTCCGGGAGAATAAACTTCAAGCTGCAGCTGATTCAGTGATATATTGGACAGGCTATGCACATATCTTTCTGGATTCAACGGGAAATTTTGGTTCTGATTGAGTCGGATGTAGGCTTTATAGTAGCTTCAAATGTCCTCTTTCTTCAGCTTTTGAACGGATTTTTTTCATGTATTGTTTAAAAGAATCTCATTGAACGGTACAAAGCTCTTCAACACTAGGTTGGTAAAGTGCACAAACTCGCTCCAGCCCTGGTAATAGGGACTGAACAGCTTCCATCAGATCGTGAGAATCACATTTAAGGGACTTTGTGGTAGAATGCATATGACACCGCCTGAGAGATTTCCAGTAGGATCTGGGATATTGATCGTGCTGCACACACTCTTGTATAAATCTAATTTCCGTCTTTGCTTCTGCAAGCCTGGCGTTAAACTTCAAGCATATGTTGTGGTTAGCAAACGACGCGGGCTACTTGCACTTTTTCAACTTGTAGACAATGCCCATAGGAATGTAAGAAAACACGGTTGCAAAGGGACCTCTTTCCGGTAACTCACATCCGGCAAATGCGTTTACAAGCACAACTAGGATTCTCATAAGCTAATGTAAGCTGAAGCGAAAGTAGAAGAGAGTTTGAATTGATTCGGGCGGAACTTAAGTTGATCGGGCCAAGTGGCGAAGCCTGTGTTGTCCATGAAAACTGATCCTCGCGAAACAAAACTGAAATTGCTTCAGACGAACTAAAGAATATCGCCAACGGTGTGGGGATAGTTGAACCATGAATTTGCTGCTCACAAGTAAGTATCGAAGTGGTAACGTTGTTGTAATTACCTCTTCGTGTAGCATCACTATTTTAGGTTAGAGCGGGTAATGTTTTACTACATATGATCAAATGGTCCTGAATATAAGAAAGGAGTCCCTGACATATGCAGTAGTTTTTATTTTCAACTGATGGCCACCCCATCTATTTGCGGTCTTATAAAGAGGTCTAGGCTGTAATAAATCAGTGTCGGTTGAGTCCACTGTATGGTGTTTTACGTTTGTTCCCCTGTGATATATCACATATGTCTTCAAATTTACAGAGCGTTCATTCACTCGATCGCTGGCTATAATGGGAAGGCTGACAGGCTGGATTATGGAGTAGCCTAACCACTGCAAAGGCTACGATTCAATCAACGTCCTTTAACACATCTGGTGCGCATGCTTTACCCAATCCTACGTCAGTGTGTTACTAGCGGGCACCGATCCATCACAAGTCAGTCGACTAGAAAACGATTGCATTCCCTCGTGGTGCACAACGAACCATGGAGACAGTCGGCCTTCTGGTCTTTCGTCGCGTTGAATCGGTTATTTCTACGTCACTCGTGCCGATGGGGGGTCAGCTCGTTTCGAATCAAGAGCAGCTCCGAATCGCATGATTTTGCCATACTTATTCGAGCTTATGATTGTTGGTAGTGGGCAGTAAAGCACTAATGATCCCGTTCAAAGTTTCTGCATACTGAGTGCACAATCTCAGCGGAAGGCAAAACCAGCAGTAAGCTGAACGAACCATGAGTTTTGAAAACCACACCACAGCTACTGGCCCGATAGGAGTTACAGTCGTTTACCAAGCGGTTATCAAATGAACACTTTCGCCTAGGGGGATATAGCGTTTGGGTTGATAGGCAGTAGCTCCATCGCCTGATGCTACTTTTGTAGACCAATAAGACTGCATAGGTCTGGCTGCAATTCGAAAAGTCACGCAACTAGTGTTAGTATAATCTCTTAACTCCCAGGCTACTCGGTCCCGCAAGGGAAGCCTAAAACAGTTAATAACAGTATATGACTGTTTGATAACTCCTACTGTGGATCATCTGATGATTTGTGATAGGAAATCCTGGTCTTAATTGTAATCACACGCCATAACTTTTATATACGTGGCCACACTAGCTGGAAGCTTTCCACTCGCCATGCAAAATGTTTCCAGGTGCTCTATCCGAGGTGCTGGCGGCTGAAGTTGACGAACCACATTTTACCGCACCACCGTTTATTCTCTTTATGCCACGTTTGTTTAACCCCATTCTTTGTGTTCACCCTCCGTTTTCGAGTTCACAACACCGTGCCGCCTTGGGCGAAAGCTCTCGCCATACGGATCTGGAATCTAGGTTCGTGGGTGCGCCAAGTCGTGTTGACAAACCATTTCTAGCGCCCCGTTCCAAATTCAAGCTGGCAACCTTCAATATTCAGACGCTGATGCAGATTGGATCACAGGGAACCTTTGCACGCACTCTGGAAACTACGACCCTTGATGTCTGCTGTCTCAGCGAGACCCGTTTACAGAACTCCAGCACGACACTGCGGCTAGTTTCACCGTTTGCCAACCACTAGCATTTTCAATTTACGCCTATCTGGAGACTCAACTGCCGAAGCCGCTGGTTGTGCTGGCGTGGGGATTGCGTTGAGCACACGTGCTGAGGCCGCGCTACTAGACTGGATCCCTGTTAACAGTCGACTTTGCGTGAGCCGACTTGAAACCTTAGTACGACTGTACAGGCGCGAAGCCAGCAGACGCTGTCTATTCATTGTCGCAGCTTACGCTCCCACAGATTACATCCCGAAGTCAGTTAAGGATGAGTTCTATGGTCAACTGGCTGACCTTCTCTGTAAAAAGCGCCGTACCGACATCGTGGTGCTCGCCGGGGAGTTGCACGCGCAGGTCAGCAGACTTGCAGTTGACGAAGGTGAACTCGGTGGTCAACACGGCCATGGTACTCGCCGAACAGACAACGGTGATTGCCTACTTCAGCTTTGCGCCGAGCACGACCTCTTTCTGTCAAACACTAGCTTTCGGGGATGCTGGCGCAAACGCGCCACCTGCAGACCCCCATCACCTGGTCAGCCATGGACACAAATTGACCATATCGCCATTAGCTATCGCTGGTGGGGCTGCAAACGGGATTGCAAGTTAACCTGGAGTACCTATTTCACTTCGAATCACGCGCTGGTGTGCGTCAAGTTAGCGCTACGCTTTGGTGACTTCCAGCAGCGTCGCCGGAAACGGATTGACGTAACTAAACTTTCAGCTCCGAACGTTCTCCGCGCATTTCAGGATGCCTTGGCCTTATGGCTGAAGACTGACCCATACACAGACCTTGGAACCCACTGAACACACATCTCCGGCGCCATGTACAACTCTGCAACTCTGGTCTGTGGCTTCAAGTAGTCCTGTCAACCTTTGGAGCTTTGCACGATCCCTTCAACTTCTCAAGGCCCATCGAGCAATTTCTGCTAGCGTTAAATGCCATTCACTACGAATGACTACTAACGGTGAGTTAAAACAGCTTATCTGAGGAGATCGCGGATTCCGCTGGACGCAGCCGCTCTTTGAAATGGAGCAAGCGGCCACCTCGGGGAATTTCCGTAAGTTCTTCCTCCTGATCCGATCTACTGGCGGCAAAAGGCCGACTGTAAGCGAAGTTTTATGCGAAAGTAATGGTGAGCCAATCCACTGTTAAAAACGCCGACTCGAGCGTTGGGTTTAGCATTTCGAGCAGTAGTTTAATTAGCCAGTAGCACCAATGAGTTCCTATTCTGGAGTCGAGTGAGGGTGTACGGCGGACCTTCGCCCCCCCCCCTTAGTATCACAACTGGTGTGAGACAGGGTTGCCCAGCATCCCCTTCTTGTTCAGTTTGGCGATGGACAAAATTCTGGAGGGTGCTCTGGAGAACTGCGAGACCAGTAGTGTTGAGCTGCTTCCGGGGGATCGACTTAGGGGTTTGGAGTATGCAGACAACATCGCCGTAATCTATGATGCCTCGCAGGCCGCCCAAAATGTCCTGGGTAGGTCGGACGAGTCTGTTTCCCAGTTTGGAATGACATTCGCACAATCGGAGTGCAGTGTCTTCCTGCCGGACTGGCTAGGCGCTGCTCCTACCCTTACCCTTTCAGGCCATTCATCGGAACTGGTAGACAGGTTCGTTTACCTCGGAAGCTGACTCAGCACTAATAGTTTAACGGATGAGGTCTCTTGTTGCGTCACTAAGGCTCGGTTTACTTTTGCCAATCTCTGCCATCTCTGGCGTCGAAGTGATCAGAGTCTATCTCTGAATGGCCGAGTTTGCAATGCCACAGTGAGAGCGGTTCTCTTCTATGGCTGCAAGACTTGGCCTGTTCGCGCAAAGGATGTTGAGACTGTTTGTTTTTGATCACCACTGCCTTCGGAACATTGCTGGTGTACGATGGCAACATCACACTAGTAATGAAGATGTTTGACTGAGGATGTTCAGATCAGACAGACTTTGCCGGCCACTGAGCAGTATAATTTCTCTGCGCAGACTTCAGTGGCTTGAGCATGTTCTTCGCATGTCTATGCATCGCTTACCTCGCCGTGCCCACTTCGCGTGCGCAGAAGTCGGCTGGAAGCGAAAACAAGGTGGCCAACGTATGACTTGGGCCAGGAGCATGAAGGAGCTAACATCAAAGTTAGCCGTGGTTAGACGCTCTCGGCTCTCTGGCTGGAGTATGAAGGATTCGGAACACACATGGCTGGAAACACTCTCGGATATGGCAAGAAACCGTGCGCAATGGTGGACTTGTTGTGACTTATTATTCCCATGAACATCGTTCTTTCCCTCTCCGTTTGTTTGTTGTATTTTCCATACGTTGTGGCACTATACAAATTGTACTATTGGCGGTGTTGAATATATGGTATAGATATATCCTGCATCATCGTGTCCACGTAAGCGCTTCGTGGTGACGATCAAAATGATCGCAGTGAAAGTACTAGAGCTCTATTTCAAATGCTCAAATGAAGGTAGCTGGAGGTCAGTAATCTTATCTAACCATCGAGGATTAAAAAATGTAGTGAAACAGCACAGGTGAATGACTGCCTTGACAGCAATGTCACTGCTTTACTCGAAGTAACCGTCACATCGGCTCAACTGAGGATGAAAAACCGGGATAGATTAAACTTCCTTAAATTACTTAGCTTATCAGCTCTTTGGTCTGTGTATGTAGGAATGCTACTTCGTCTTCAACGTGATCGCCCAGATTTCGTTAGGGCGATATATATATATATATATATATATATATATATATATATATATGAAAAACACCAGCATCTGTAACTCTTGCTTGGCTATCCAATCGGCTATTTGTGTTAAACAGAAAATGCTCGCATCTGTGTTAGGGACACACACAGTCGCGTGCGAAGCCATGGATTTTGCTCTTCCCTTTGATGGGCTTCATGACATCCCTGTAACAGAGTCAGTTCGTCGAGCATTATGCACAGAGAAACCACATGAGTCAGTCAAACGATCGGTAGCTTCGGTCGCAGCGCGGCATACTGACTGTCGCTCGTTCGGGGCAAACTAAGCTGGATGACACTAGAAGCTTATTTGGCAGCAACTGCGGATAGGCTGTCGTTGCGCATGCTGGTTGAAAAGAGAAGTGACGCATTTGGTGTAACGATTAGTCACTCAAACATGCCGTGTCCCAGCAAGTAGTATCCCAGAAGCTGAATTCACCCAGCTATGCAAAGCAACATATTGTCGAAATAGCCCACATTGTTTCCGCAGTGAATAGTAAACTTGTGGATGTACTGACTGAGTTGATGACGCTTAAGCAAAATGCCTTTACAATCCGCTGACACAGTACTTGATCTCATTATCATATAAAATGAAAGTGTTTCCTAAGCGCTATCCGTCTTACATATAGCATGCGAGTAAACTTAGAGAATAGCCGCTGAAGTGCATCAACGTATAAGCAGATGGCCAAGGTCCGATCATCTTCAATGTCCCGGACAGAAGTCCATTACCGTATGTGATACGCAGCCTACTTAGGGCTTGCACTCAAACGGAGATTCGTTGTAGCTTGGTGACTCCACAAATGGTAACAGGAGCAGAGTTGTCCCCTAGTGCATCCAGGAACGACACCGTAGCTCAATCATTGATAGTCGCTCCACCAGAGTGCACTGAAAACCAGATCGCTTACGCCTGAGCTGCATCACCAGGTTGGTATGGATGCGTATGAAGTTGCTGGGATACTACTTGCTTCGACGCGGTGTGTTTGAATGACAACTTCCTGGTAGTGGGGGGATTTTTTGGAGTTGTTTGTTCAGCATTCACTGCAGTTGTGGCAAAGTTGCCGAAGTAAGCCTATGTCACTGGTACCCGCAATGTTTTCGGTTAGCATAAGATAGCGGCGAGGATAGTAGGGAGATTGCACTATTTCCTGGCATTTCGTTTAGAGCTTTGGATACAATAAGCCTCTTGTACAGTTAAGGCAGCCACGGTAACCCGTGTGAGCGGACACTACATTAAATGCGAAACGGACCATGGGATAGCGCTAGTTTTCATTCACAGTACGTAAATCGTAAGATGTGGTTAATTAATTGACTTGTGGCTTACATAATGCGGACAGATTCAGCTATACTCAAGAGCGATTGTCATGCGATACCGTAAACAGCAATCACATACGCACGCCGTTCGTGTTGAACAAATTTTGGGGGTTGGAGATGTTGCTAAGGCTATGTAGCTTGTGAACTGCTGGGAAGGATGCATTAAAATTACAACTAAAATCCTCCTATGCAAGAGAACTATCACAACAATCTGGCGTGTTTGAGTCTGGGTAATATATAATCATTGGTCTTCACAGAATGACTCATCCTGGAATGTCGGCACCTTTGCCTTTCGCACTCAGGCCTTCTCCTGGATATATATATATCGCTTGGCCAACCATACTACAATTGCCAGAGTCCCCTAACATATGGATAAACACATTATGCAAAACAGATAGAGAAAGAACCGTAATAATCGTACTAGCGTCTCACAACCTGTGCGCCACTGTGTGCAAGATCTTGCTATCCTTCGATGGAGTGAACAATCAATTAACATGTTTGTACATTCACTGTGACAGTAACCTTGGTAACCGGATCTCAGTCCAAATACACAACGACTGTAATTAGTTCAACGACAGCCAATTTGAGAGACTAACAGACACACTATAGAACTACACAGGGCGAACAAGGTGCGAGTCTGTAAATGCCGTCCTTCAGTAAAATTCACAGTACGTAGCCGAGGTCACATTGGTACCCTACCTTGTGTTTTCGATATTTCTGAAGATCAAACCTATTACTTCTGTTGAGAACATCGCCTGTCTAACGTGTTCCATTGGGTTTATGGGTCATGTAATCACCTGGCTATGCGTCATATTAATCAACCTGATGTGCAGTGCTTTGGGTGCATTTTTACGCTCACCTGAGATCTCTGGAATGTATGCGGAGCAGCTGAGAACATAGTAAAATATCGCCAGTGAACTCCACATGGTTTCAAGACGCTTTAATCCAATCCTCCTCAGAAGGGACAATCATCAGTCAATCAGACAATCATCAGTCAAACTGGATACACAAATCTCAAGATGAGGCAATGTGCACAGACTATGCTAAAAACAATCGGACAACCGTCTCTACGGTGATCTCATTTCAAAAACTTGTTCTGACTAGAGGGGTGCATCCACTCTGATGTTTGTGGCTCACCTGTATTCAAAAGGAATCATTGCAGAGCAAACCGCATAGAGAGCTGCCAGGGCATTCATCCAGGGCATCAGTTCGGCCCTTGCAGGTAATTTGCTTTGCATCTCATCTATACCACTGACCAGTGTCACCAGACTGTCACTCAGTGCTCCACCAGAGGTCGTGCAGTGTTCCAGCTCCTAAAAAATAAAACCGTCGTGGTTCAGTTCGGAACAACAGCTGTGTAAATGAGTTATGAGATGCTAACTTAATCTGGACCGTCATTAATGTTGATGTGAACCACGAATAATCCGACCAGTGGGATCTTATCCGAAGCAGATAAATCCTAGTTGCTGTTTGCTTGCAACCCCCAACCCCATGACCGATTTCGTACTTGTTTACACTGGCCAGCTGGTGATAGCCGGACTGGGACTAGTACCTGGGACTTTGGGCTGCCAAACAAAGCCTTTACTCTTAAGCGTCCGAGAAGGGGTGCACAACGCATGTCACAAAGGAGAATGTTTCATTGCAGGAGTGTCATACATGCACTTGAATACTGGTCGTGCACACCGGCGCTCACCTGATTGACTGATAATGACCTCGCCTTACCTTCCTTATTTTATTCCTCCTTCGTTTCGGCATTTCTAGCCCCTTTAACGTAGGAAGCATTCAGGAAATGGTTCCACACTACGCCTGCGCGTTCTGTATCGCCCATCGGGCTATGGCTCATACCTAACAAAGGGTCAGCTCGAAGCAACTGTGTGTGCATGGATTGCCACACAAAATCTCAATCTGGATCGCGAGTAACTTTTAATTGAATCTCGAGCAGAGAGATTTTACTTGAAACGATAAGAACTGTATACCCATTTGAGCTGCATCATCGGAAAAACACAGATTCTCAAATGCCAATGTGACTCCTCGGACAGCGGCCGACAGCGGCGATATTTTGTGCATTGTGCGGAGTAACTCGGTATTTACTCTCTAGATGATCAACTCACATGGGGCGTCACTGCTGACCGTGACCTCAGAATAGCCGGCAAATATACCACCACCAAGAGTCGTCTGACTGTTGCGTAGCAGTAAGCCCACCTGAGAACATTATTTAGGCTAAGGTGAGCCGAGGCTACCTTACTTAATGTGACAGCGCCCCTTGCCTATTTTCCTCCATATTCGCTGCGGACATCTAGCATTTGTTTATTAATTTAGGTGCATCTCGTCAGGTATTCCACAAACCGTTTCAGCACCACTATTATCACTTGATTTGTTTGGGAAGAAAATGTATGGCCCATGTCCGGTTACAGTGTTAGCACTCCAATGGTTGTCTCGCAGCCGATGGTCCCTCAGTTTGGGCAATGCAACAGTAGCCCTGTCTACAATACTCGGTTAACTCAACGAGCCACATTAGGACAAGCGGATGGAACTCGTTAACGAGCAACAAACTGTCCGTAACGCTTGATGCCACAGGGAAGAATGTAAGTACCTGCCTCATTATAAATTAAGACCATGATTGCTAGTGTGACTCAACCTATACCATGTTCAATATCGCAGGTAACTTAGTGATCGATGATGAATTTAAACATCCTTCTCAAAAAGTTACCTCAACATAAGCATTTTGCTCCGCCGCGGCCAAGCGCATTCGGTCACGATGTCGTTGGGCGGCTTCGAAGCCCAACTGAGCTGCTTGCGCTTCAAGTTTACGTTGGATCAGTGACGTCTGAGCTTCAACCAAACGAAGCTCCTCCCCATTCAGCTGTTGGGTTTGCAGGCGCAGACGCTGCAGCGCATTGGCACATTCACACAACGCCTGAAGCCATCGACATAGCTCAGCAGCGGCCAAGCTCACCTGCGCAAACACAAGAGGGTTGGAGCGTGAAATATTCAGTACGGAAGAGTGAACCTACACTTGGTAGGGAACAGCAGCCAGGTCAAAAGACACAAACCGGAGTTTAGCAACCATTTGAACAGCTCCTCAACAGTTGACTTGATCACAGAGCAGCATAAAGCGCCTGGCTTAAGTGGTTATCATGAGCGGTGGAAAATCTATGGAAAGTCAAATTTAGTAAACGATAAAATGCTCCGGGTATCGCCGAACAGTCGACAATCCGGACCTACACGCTGATTCAGTTCCCCAGGATGTAACTGTGGCTTGTTGAGGCACTCAGCTCCTGCGTAATAAAAATTGGAACCAGTGTTTATCTCTTCAGCCTCAAGAAGTTTCCGCTTGCTCTTAATTTCTTAACCCTAATTGAATGCAGCAAAGAACTCAATTCACCTTTGAAAAATAGGATGGTTTGCTGCAACATTTACAGTTCACCGGTCAACTAGTCTTCTAAACCTTATCGTGCTGCACACGTTGACCTATTAGTTGAAATATCCACCTTGGGGCTTCATTTACTTCATGACCGTTTAATGGTCTATGTACTTTATTTGATGCGCAAATCGATTGGGACAAGAAATCAGACACTGTTCATAAGACGTGCAAGCTGATGCCTCAGCTCTCTGATATCGCGTGTCATCATGTGATGCACTAAGCCTTGCTTGTCCAAACGTGAACTGTGGGAGCGCACTCATATAAGGTGAAGCGTGTAGCGAAATCAATACCTTAGCTTATTCCAGCCATCCAACTACCTGCAGAACACGAACATGGTTAATCAGAGCGTCCGATAGAGCAGGCTTTAGCATTCCGAATAGAGTGATGGAATTGTGCACCTTATAACTACGTTACTCGTCTTCGTGACGCGAATCACCTTCCGGTTGCAAACAGTTGCTCGTCCATCGAGATACATCGGCACTGCGAAGCAGTTCCTAGGTGGTGTGTACATTCACTGATAAGTGAGATTCCCTTGAGTTTGCAGGTTCATTGTCAACTAGAACTTAAAGACTATCAAGCAGTAGATTTAAATTTTGTGTTCGTTTTCTTCCCGCGATCTCGCTGAGTTAATCAAACTCGGCTGGGAAGTGGCCCCATCAAAACAGAGTTTGTCAGTTCTGATGTAAACGCCGTGCTCCTCAGTAAGACTCAATACCAAATATTCGTTGAATATTAGCAATTTGAGGTTTATCTTGTGTTCCTCCTCGATTAGATTTGCGCTACCTGAGCACTGAACAAACCGCACTCACCACTTAAACATGACTAATGTATGGCGACAAAGTGCAGGCTGACCAAGTGAATGGTGTACTTCTCCACCGCAGCCCTTTTATACCCAAGCAAACAGAGAAATACTGCAACAAACCCGATGGCTGAGTGACACGCCTGGTATGGCTGCACACGATGTGTCTACTGAACATACACATACACGTCCTGTTTTTCCATCAAAGTTGCTCTTTGTATGTGAATGCTACTAGTTTCTGGAAGTAACAGGATGCAGTCTTTGCAACAGAGCTAGGTGTGAAAGAACTGTTACAACATGGAGCACGATACAGTCAATACACAGCTCCATTCAAATCCGAGGTGCCCGTTTCCAGCGTCCAGGGTTTCAGATGTCACTGAAAATCAGTTGCCAGCCGTCCACGAGTCAAACGCATACAAACTACACATGGGCCCACTCGTTGTACATCACAGTTACCTTCTCGTGGATTCGCCACAATCTTGGAATACCGCCGCCGACTAGTCTACCGGTATGGGCTGTTTCATCGGCATCCGCTAACTCCTATTCTTTCTAATTCGCGCCAGACACGCGGGGTTAGTTTGACGTAATTCAGGTCCTTATAGGCTGTATAGGTGCAGGCATTTTTGTATGCGGCTGTTCACCCGACTTGATGGTTGCCTAAAATTCTTGAAGACAAGTTATCCAACTGAACGCCCATCGTTTCTGATGTGAATTCCACAACTAGCAAATTGCCAAGACCTGATTGTTTTTGAATGACCAGTTTCGTGGCTTATCCTTAGCATATGAACTAAAATGAGGGTTGGTGTTCTTGCCAGTAAGTATTCAGGCAACTGGAGCTGCATGAAAATACTCGTCAGTGCTGTAAGTTTGGCGACTACATGGAGAAGTGACTAGTGTCTACGTACTTTTACACCTGTCTGAGGAAGGGAAATCACTCAGATAGAAAATGTGGCGAATCATCAATACAAGTATAATTATAATCTATTCATTTTTTAAGTGTGTATCCGATGCACCTTTTTCTGTTTTCGCTTTGTTCGCTGTCTGTCATTACGAGGCACATGAAGCGATGTCGTGCTGGGACACCCAGTTATCGTCCCTGGTACCGGTTAATCAAGTATCAACTTTCGCCAACAAATCAAACTCTTGTCCTTTCGAAACACACGGATCATTCACATTCTATGAATCACAGGTTATCCTGCTATTATCACAGTTTACCGCGTCAGAAATTTTACCAATTTCCACTCTTTGACAGAGCCGCTTTCCTCATTATTAGTATTATTATTATTATTATTATTATTGTTTTAGATCTCCCCACAAACTGTTCAAAGTGACTTGTAAAACAACGCCTCTTAAAGCCTATAAAGTCATTGTTCATTGAACAATTGGGTTCGTCTCTTCTTACTGAAGGAACCCTCTCATAAACCTTAACGGGAATTATTTTGATGACATTATGCAGGATTTTTGTATGCTATCGAGGCATCAACACTTGCTATTTTCAGTTTAATGTGATGGATCTTCCACTTGGTTATGAATCGCAGACTTTCCCGTCGATACTGTCATTTACCACTTCTATCTTGGACAGAAGTCTTGTCCTTTTTTAGGGCCTGAACGATTGGGCTTGGCCCTTCCCGTTTCGACAAAAACACTTTCACATGCTATTTCGATGGAGTTACCCCAGTGACATTACACAGGAACTTCGGTCTGCAACCGAGGGATCAAACCTCACCATCTGTATCCCCTCGAGTTAGAACTTTTACTTAGATATGGACGGCCGACTATGCTGTCACTTTAGAAAGATCAACAATATTTTACTGCGACTTTAGGGGGGAGCCCAGGCCACGGTTGAAGAAGGCAGGTCGAGATACATGGAAGCTTTTATTTTGTACACTAAAAGGTTCCCTGTTGACCTAGCTATAAAAAACGACACCGATGGCGCTGCTAGCTAGAGGGGACGAAAAAGTACAAAGACGGTGCCCGACTCAAGCAATCGAACTCAATAACCAGTACAACAGTTTGCACCTATCGTCTAAGTGTTCAATGAAATATTAACTTTGTTAGAATTTCAAGCAGGTTAAATGGGGGAATCTTTAAGCTATCACATGACAGATCTCCTGCTGTCCCAATCCCGCTAAATGCCACGACTTGGCCGACCAATCAGGTGCGATGCTGCTCCATCGTATGCTTCCGTGTAATCGAAGCACCAATCCAGTCGATGAACTTGTTGTCACGGCGTCCAGTCGATTGCGGACAATCTACTTTTGTTTTTCAGGCACATTTTTGATCATGCAATCCTTATCCTCAAATTCTACTTAACTATTATAAAATTTTCTGACTATTCCACGCAAGCTTCCATCTTATTGGCCGTGGCCGTAGAATTGGAGCGTGCTGCAGAATTATATACGGTCTGATGTTGGCTGAACGCTAGCGGGACTTACGCGCGCTTGCTCAAACGGAGGCCGATAGCCGGAAGTATCACACGATTATCTTGTAACCTGAAGATCACTGGTTCAAATTCATGTATGTACGAGTGACTTCACGGCATCTCCAGCGACTGTTGGTTTTCACGTAGCAGCAAAGTGTAGGGACGGTGACGACATACTTCTAATGCCCTTCGTTGCCAAGCAACGATGTGGTTCAAAATTCACTGCAAACTATGTTATGGGTTCTAGTACATGGACAATCAAGACGGCTTCCTTCGAAGTTTAGGAGAACTGCATCGCTTGTGGCGGGGGCGTATACCATCGGGCACGTCCCTAGGTTGCAGACAGAAGAATGCCATCCTTTGGAGTTAACTGTGGAAATGTCCCATTTGTTTTGCAGGCGAGATGAATAAGCGATCGGACACACTCAGTGACAGCGTCTCAGAGCGTGTGGAATTCTGGGCTGGTCGCTTGGTTCTCTGTTAAGTACCACGAAAGCTCGTAAGGCGCTGTATAAAAGCCAATGACCGGCTAAATCGTCACTGACCACTGATCTCTGTAATCAGATGTGGGTAATGAACATGCTTGTTGGTCACCAACTTCTATGTGGACTGTTAGCAAACACTAAGTAGACGTATAGCCACCTGGCTGTCAACGGTCTTCTTATTCAGTGGCTGGTTAGACGTTCCGAGAAAAGTTTTCTGACTTCTGCGCTACTATGCGCAGGCTATTCAGACACTATGAGAAGTTTGATACTACTCGAAAATCGCGCTACCGGCTCCCCATGGTTCGCGATGTACTTTAGTGGCCCCGCTGCCTTGCGGGTCAGGTCTTTACGACCTAAGGCTGCGGTTTTGATCTTTTAAGTCAACCCTCTCCCTCGGATTGAGCAACCTGGAAGCGCTCTGCTCATACAACACATATGGACATAGACCTGTGTAACTCATTTCTTATCTACGCTTTCTGTCTTCGCATTTCTCGGCCGAGGTAGTGATAGCTGGCACCGAAAAAACGGGCTCTAGTGCATCCATTTCTATGTTTCTTTCCACTTTTCTGGAAAACCCTCATACTCGGCAATCCCCTAGTATGCCGGATCTCCGACAACGTGCCGCCTTGGCGTACAGTTTTATCCTTGTCTGCGAACATTGCAAGACACTCCATGTGTCACGCAATCGTACAGATAGGATCTTTTAGCTTTCCGTTCCTAATTCAAGTTGACCGCTTTCATTGCCCGGAAGTGCATACAGATAAAAACTCAGGCAGCTCTTACTTTCACTCTGTAAACCCACACCAGCGATATAGGTTGCCTCGTTTAGACCCGCTTACAAGACTTCAGCAAAACCCTGCTACTGACATCACCTTCTATGTGCTCCCAAGGTTAATACACACTGAGCTTGTCCGGAGACGTAACTGCTGAAGTCACGTGTCAGGCTGGAAATTGCGTTAACTGCACGCGGAGAAGCAGCGCTGCTTGAATGGATTACAGATAATAGCGGAGTTTGTGCTGTTCGGCTAGAAAGATCCAAACGATTGTCCAGTCGCGAAAGTGCCAAACACTGTTTGCCGCAGTGGCGTATACTCTCACGGATTGCAGCTCGGACAAAACTAAAGATGCGTCCAACAGCCGACTCTCTGACCTACTTCATAAGAAACGCCACTATGATATTGAGGTGCTCGAAGGAGACATAAAGCACAGGTCGATGAATTAGAACCTATTAAACACGGTCTTGGTGGTCTAAATGGCCATGGCACTCACAGGATGGATAACGGAGATCGCCTTCCAAAGCTCTGTGCTGATCAAGGTTCGTTCCTCAGCAGCTCGTCGCTTACCATGGAAAGTCGTGAAGACAAATTTACCACATCACCATAAGTTGAACGCTGACAATGAACAATTAATTTATACGGGTTAAGAAGCTTTGCTTTAAATGATCCGTTGGATAGTTGGTGGGGATATCGAAATAACAAAAAGATTAATAATGATCGTAAAACAGTTAGTCCTTTAAATATAAAAATAAGGACTTATCGTTTGCTCCACTGTAGTCCCTCAATCCGCCTAGATTCACAGCGCCCACAATTAATATCAAATAATTCCATGGTAAACTCTAGGTGTAGGATGGAGACGTAGCACTAAGTGGCTAAGTGTAAGTAGGTG